TGTTGTTTTTGTTATTTGAAGGGAATTTAAAGAGGAAAAAAAAAAAAAAAGAAAAAAAAGAAGGAGGGGAAAAGAATTGCCTTGGTGATGCCTTATATTTTGGGTTTCCGCGGGAGTTAGCGTGGTGGCCGATTATTTTTCCCCTGCAACAACGTATGGGGAGGCATCAAATAAAAGAAAGAGGGATTTTTTGTTGTTTGAGATTATTACTGTTATTAATATTGGGATTATTGGAAGTTCCATTATTTTTATTCAGGCAGAAGCATGTACATGCATGCCACTATTTATGTGCTGATAGCCCCCCTCCCTCCTTCTCACTATCTCTCTCTCCTTCTGTTATTTCTCAACACAACTTTCATCATCTTTTTGTCCTTTAATCTTTGTGAGCGAATGTCATTTCATTCTTATCTTTTTTTTTGTTTTTGTTGATTCTTCTCTGCTGTTAGCTTTTGATCCAGTGTCACCAAAAGTTGGAGCCTTGTTTTGGGCCATATTTATAATTTTCCAGTATTTTTTTTTTCTTTTAAGTGTGGATTGAGGACGCAGAAAGATGTCGTCATGGATGATTTAATTCCCGCTGCATCAACGCGTCCACACAAAAGCATCACTGCCTGTTTCAGCAAAGAAACCACGCAAAGCACGTTGGAGGGAATTATCCCCTCTTATTCATTATGGGAGGAGCACGCAGCTCGGAACAGCCATTGGATGGAAAAGATGTACGGTGTCATTTGCGTACCGTTTCCCCTTCAGTGCAAGTGGTCTGAAGCAGTCAACTCATTGTTTCCGGGGAGCCACAATTCCCCGTGATGATGTCCTCGCAGGAGATAATCCAGCATAACAATCACAACAACATCTCTGTGTAAGTCGTGCCTTTATCGGCAAGTGAAACTTGCGTTCCTCCTTGTTTGTTCTGAAAAGGAAACAAAAAAAAAACGGGAAGGAATGATGGTTTCATGTAGTGAACCTCATTTATAAATGTAATTTTGTGGTTTATTTCCTCTTTTGGTGGGTTTTGGTTGAACTGTTGCCTTTTATTCCTTCTTTTTGACCTTTTTTTTTGGGGGGGGGGGGCTGCGGAACGCGTCGTGGCCTATTCTTTTTGGATGAATCACGAACACGGTACGTGGGTGTGGTGTGGCAGAGAGAGGGACCGCAGAGTGCACTTCCACTCGGAAAGGCAAGAAAAGGAAGAAGAATAAAAAGGATAAACCATAGGGAGCGTTGGTACGGTCATCTTCCCCAACAGGAGGCATTAGTAATATTAATATTAATATTATTATTATTGCAGACTGAGGAAGTCTTAGAGATTAGAGAATTTAGTTGAAGAATTTAATTATGGTGGCAACGATTACGTTCAGGCTTCGTTCTAGCAATCATGTCGGGGTTATTGATGTTCCCCACCGTATGATATCATGTCGTGAGATTAAGGAGGCGATTGCAACGCAGTTGAGTGGATCTCCGGAAGAAATAGACATCTTTATTTCAGGGAGCTCGGATTATTTACATCCCGAGGAGGAACTTCCAGCGTACACCGTTTTGGAGGTGGTAAGGCATGTTGCATCTGGTAGACCTCCTCCAAGGCGCGAACGTGAGGCGCCAGCCGGTAACTCATCACACCAACGTTCCCTGACGAGAATGGGCGCCAAAGAAGGGACTGCTTCAGCTCCATTAACAGAGGAGGAACGCCTTGCGCAGCTGAGTGAGGCTGTGGCTGCGGAAACGGGTATTGATGAAGTGGGTGGTTGGCGGACACGTCAGACGCGCAACCGCCCGATGGGAAACGCAATTGGGGGCCGCGAGAGCTCATTTCTTCCACCACCGCCAAATTATATTTGCCACAACTGTGGCAAGCGAGGACATCTCATTCAACATTGCCCAGCGGCAAAGGGGACGAAGGGACTGAAGTTGTTGTCACTTCCAACTGGTATTCCGGAGACCATGCTGGTAGAGTGCACGATGGACGATCCGGCAGCAAAATTTGTGACACGTGATGGTCGTTTGGTGAAACGACGGCTAGACAATGCGAGCTTCACTGGTGTCGTGACAGCCGCCGCCGATGTGGCAGATTTGCAAAGGGAGTCCGTCACAAGATTAAAGAGTAGTAAAGAAGGCCATAGCAAGGGCCTTGTTGACGGTGAGGATGCGAAGGCCACGGAGGAATCCAAACTGTTGTGTGGCTGGGATAAGCTGCTGGCAAAGAATGCGATGAAAGCACCCTGTTGTGCGACCCTGTTATGTGAGACTTGCTTTAACGAGAGGGTGGAAGAATTGATTGGCCGCGAGGATGCGGAAGGGACACCGCTTCTGTGCCCAGGCTGCAACAAGCCTCTCTCAGTGTGTGACGTCACTCCAGCGGTGGAGGAACGAAAAATTATTGAATCCCTTTATTCCAGAAAGCGTGGAAGGAAATGATGAACAGTTTGGAGAGGCGTGTAAGGCGCAAAATGGAAAGAGGAGAGGAAGAGAACGTGAGAAATGATTTCGCGGGCATGCGAGTTGGTGGACGCGTCGCTCGTTGCTCCACGTGTGGGAGGCAAATGAAACTAAAAGAGAGGAACGATTAACTGGGGCTGTTTCCCCCCAACATGATACACTTGTTTATCTTCCACCCATCCTCCTGTGAGATTGTCCCAGGCGTTACCCTCTACCAATTCACGGTAGCAGTCTCTACGAATATGTAGCTGTTTTTATCCTAATTTTGTTTGTTTGTTTTCTGTGATTCCGTTTTGTCACTACTACCGGCCCCAAGGTGCTGATCCGCAAGATTCATAGGAACGGACGAGGCACCGTGAGAGGAAAGGAATTGTCTGCAATATACAGTATTATTTTTTTGCTCGTTGCTGTTGAAGCCACCCCACCTGTTTACTTACGCTAACGCCACGCATGACAAGTATTTTCACTTACGGCGGGATCGGCACGAATCCCATGGCGCAGAAGTACGGCCAGATGGCAGCTGCCGCATCCCTTTGTGGAACAAAAAATTTTGTGTACACCAAGTGTCATGATGACCCCCATCCCTTCCCTCGCCATCATCACCGACAGAGTGATGTGCCGTGGAAGGACTCCTTCACGTGGAATAGGTTGCGCTGGATTATTCATGATTTCCGTATGTTTGGGCTTTGGGGTGCTTTACGACGGCATTATTACATTGGCGAACAGTGGCGCCGAAAGGATGAGAAGATTTTTGTTGGTAAAGATGAGAACGGAAACAAGTACTGGCTTGCTCGTCGCTCTCAGGGAAATTTTACTGTCCGCATGGTTGAACCCGTGGATCCCCACTGGTTTCGTGGACAAGCGCCACACACCGCCTCACCCATGTGGTTGAAGTGGATGCAAGGCAATGCTGCTCACACCCCCGCACAAGTAAAAGCAAGGGGTGAATGGGGCCACAACTCCCGACTCGGTATGGCATTGCCGTTCAACATTAAGTACGATGAATTCTCCCCCATCAATGCAGGTGAGGTCTTCTCACGTGATCCCATGTGGGTGTCTGCACCTGGCTTGTTAGTAAACCCGGAGCGACGTGCGTTAGAGGAGGCTGGTTATTCACGTTGGGTGATCAACAAGGGAATGCCGTTGTATATGCCATTCTGCGGCGTACATGACTACTCAGATGAACTAGTGGAGGAATACTATAGGGGACAGTGGGCCTTTGGGCGCGCTAGCAAAGGCAACGATCATGATGAATGGAGAAACTAAAAAAAAAAAAACTGAAAGGGGAGAGAAAAAAAGCCGGCTCGCGTATTTACATGTGTATTTTGTTGCTGTTGTTTCACTTTTTTTTTTTTTTTGTCATGTTGCCGGGGGTTTGGTTTAGAAACAGGAGATACATTGTAGGATAGCAGGTCTATAGTGGAGAAAAATTGGGGGGATGATGGGGAACCTGTACATATATATATATATATATATATATATGTCTTTAGTAGTGTTTTCCTTTGATTATTATTATTTTTTTTTTCTCAAACGCGAGAGAGTGAACTCATCAGGAAGTGATTTATTGGTGAGAGTAGTTGTCATTGGGATGAGCGTAGTAGCAGCCATCGATGCGTTTTGTATATCTTTGTTGACGCGCTGCAGTGAAATTTTCATTCTTTTTTGATGTCTGATGATCATTGATTGATTGTGGTCGTAAACCAAAAAGGAAAAATAATAATAATAAAGAACATACGGCGTCTCGCGTGTGCCTGTGTGTGTCTGTGTTTGAATGGGTATTATCTTTATCCCTTTTTTTTTTGTTCTTGTCGCCCCATTGATACCTGTCGTTTCTTATAATTTTTGCTCTTTTTCTTTTTCCACATGCACAACAGAGACACGCTCTTTTTTTTATTATTATTATTATCAAGAGTAGGATAAATATCCACGTGCAAGACCAGGAGATGAGCACAGAACGGGGACCGGAACGCAATTTGATGCGTGAGACTGCACTTATTGGATTTTTTCTCGGAGCTTGTTTCATGTTTGCTTTGGCGTTGATATGCCACAGCCTTTGGTACACCGGAAGTGTCGAGGAGTACGCGGCCGGCGTTTACATCCTGTGCATACCGGTGCTTTTTCACATGAGCGAGTTTCTGGTGGTGGCGTCTTTAGGTCGTCATGACACCCACCCTGATACCTTCTTGTTGATTCACTCGAGAGAATACACGGCGGCCACCTCTGCGGCATGGATAGAGTTCTTTTTAGAGTGGCTTCTTGTCCCGGAGCGCTGGAAGGTGCCCAGAGGAACCTTTGCTGGATGGTTGCTGCGCTTGAACTATAGTACCGTTACTGTGGCTGCTGTGATGGCGGTTGCGTTCTATCTTGTGCGCGTTGTCGGGATGCTGCATTGTGGACGGAACTTCTCGTTATTAATTGAGACAGAGCGGCGGGCAAGTCATGTTCTTGTTGATAATGGAATTTACGCGGTGCTGCGTCATCCAGCCTACTTTGGCTTCTTTTGGCGAACCCTCTGCTCACAGCTGGTGCTGGCAAACCCGTTGTGTCTTGTTTTGTATGCCGTGGTCATGTGGCATTTCTTTAGTTGTCGCATCGCTTACGAAGAATCTGTGTTGGAAGGTGAGGAATTCTTTGGTGAGCGATACAAGGCTTACAAAGCCAAAACAATGGCGGGCATTCCTTTTATTTACTCACGACGCCCTGAATGTGTCTGCATGTGTGTGAGTCTTTTTGCCTAACCACACCCCTTTAGAGGGGAAGAAGAAACATAAAAACGAAAACAAAAGAGGAAAATTGCAGGTCTTTTTTTTTTGTCTTGGTTTTGGTGTGTCCCGACTCTTTTTTTTTTTTTTTTTGCGTGTTTGTCTGTGTGTGTGGGAGGCGGGAGGCGGGAGGTGGATGTTGCTTTTGACAAGGCATATGAAAAGAACACGCGACCAAATGGGCAAAATAGGGACTGCTGCCTCATGATTTTCCAAACGGGTCCAGTTATTAATGACGTGTAACTTTTGAATGGGTTGTTTATTGGCGTTAAAGATAATTGACTCTTTGGAGCGTAACGCTGGAAGGTGCATTGACCCAAGCGGGAGATCCCTGTTGTTCTTGTTGTTTTGCGGTAATGGGGAACGGGGACCAGCCTTATGCCGAATTATCTGTTCATGACTTTGCCCTCTCTTTCTGTGATTGTAGCTTTTAATTTATTTTATTTTTTTATCAAAACGGAGAGCGCCGTTTTGTTAGTTTTTGCGGGGAGTGGCCTTGACGGCTGCCTCAAAAGATGAAGATCACTGCAAAGGATTGGTTGCTGTCGTTGCACTTCCTGCCGCTGGAGTGTGGCATGCTGATTGCCGTACTTGTGTTCTGCATGGCGCCCAATTATGCCGTTTGGTCACTGATGTTTTTTATATCAGGCCTTTTGTGTACGTTTGCAATGTTCAACATTCTTCCTCTTGCACCGCTGAAGTCTGGAGGCACACATCACATTGGCATTCGTCACATCACGCGAGAGATTGCTGTGTACTACCCAACTTTTATTAAGCCGATTGAAGGGGAACCTTGGCTTCCTGGTAATGATTCCCATTACATCCAGACCATGGCGGCGGGGGCCAGGGTACGCTCGCTGTGGCTAAGTCATTTGAAGCTTGTGCGGATTCCCTGTACTCGAAATGCGAGCATCGTATCATTAATGACACATGACGGAGGGCCTCGGAAAGTTTTTATTTTTAGTCACACCTTATCTACCCATCATTTGGCATACTCACGACTTGCATTGGCTTTGGCTGCATCCGGAGCGTTGGTGTACAGCGTGCTCCATGCAGATGGAATAGATGTTTCTTTTGAGAGGAGCAGCCTTGGCTCATCGGTGGGTGAGGAAGAAGAAGAATTTCCGTGTGAACGAGGGCTGACTCAAGAGGGCATGTTGATGCAACTTCAAAAACGTATTGAAGATGTTGTTGGTGTTATCGAGGGCATTTTTCGAGGGGAAATGCTCCGACAGCTGCAGGTTGGGCCAGTGGAATTGCAGTCATTTCTCTCTTCTGGTGCCAAAGTCAATCTCATTGGCCACGGCTTTGGCGCGTTGACGATGTTGGCCGTTGCTGTGAAGGCCACCGCAATTTTATCGTTTATAAATTCCATTGTTGCCTTTGATGCATGGCCGCTGAGTCTTCTGGACCGTACTGTGGGGGATCCAATCTCCATGCCGTCGCACATCAAGGTGCAGCTTTTTGACTCCGAGGAGTGGTCTGAGCGCCGTGTGTACGCTGTGCGAGTGGAGGAGCTAAAGGGGCGTTTTGCCTCCTCCGGTGTCTCATGCCTCCGTACGACCTGCAGTGGGACCGACCACATGTCTGTCATGGACATGGGACTCCTGTTGCCCCTAACGAAACGACGGCGTTTTGCCTCCAAGAAATCGTCCAAGCTCATCCCTATGTTGGCCACTGAGGTACTACGATGCACAGAGGGATCATAACATGCGAGAGGAGGAGGAGGAGTGGAAAAGACGACCTTGCAAACTGCGTAGATGGCGGAAATGAAGACGTGACAGGCAACCACGCGGAAAAAAAAAAATGGAAGAAATGACGAATAAAAGGAGAAAATTTTAAAAAACTTAAATTTTTTTTTGAGTTTTCCCGCCTGTGTGTGTTTGTGTGTGTCCACAATGTCACGAGGGTGGGATTGCTGCGTGCACTCGACTTACGTTGGATGGATCCGCTGCCTTACAGCCGCACTTTCATTGCGCCTGTCTTTTTCCTTTCTTTATTTGTAATTCCAATCCTTCACGTTGCCGTGTACAAATTAATTCAATGCATTACTGTACGTGTTATTTGTCATTCTAACTTTTATACTTACCACCATACAAGAACACGACAGTAAACTAACAAAACAAAGCAGCAAAAGAACAAAGGTATGAGTGCAACCGCAGGATTTTTTTCGGGAGCGCCAAATTCGTTTTGGGACTATGTCATATCACCCCACCTAATATTGTTGTTTGCTTTTATTCCTCTCTCTATGATTCTACGCATCTTTGGACTGGGAGCTGTGGTTTTTCTGCCTATTCTTCCCTTGGGAATAATAGGCACGGCTGTCATGTTTATTTTGTTGCCAATTCCCATTCTTGAGCCCGTTGGCGGCCATTACCACGTTGGCATTGTACACGTACACAGCCGTCACTCCCAGACGATGCCACCACTGGCTGTCTACTACCCCACGAATGAAACCCCACGACGCAAAGGTATCCAGTACATTCCCTTTAATGATGTTCGGTTCATGAGTGGGCTCTCATCTCGTGCAGGTGTCCCTCTTTATTTGATGAGGGATTTTCTCTTTGTGCGGTTGCGAGCAACTGAGGGTGCGAAGCCAATTCCTCTTATTAACAGCAGCGGGATTCCACTTCCCGTGATTATCTTCAGTCATGGTCTGTACGGGTATCATCGCTTGTACAGTGCTCTGCAGGCTGATCTGGCATCTCGTGGGGCAGTTGTGGTGAGTGTCGGGCATTGCGACGGAAGCGCCTCGTTTATGCGTGACAGTGAAAGGGGAGGCAAAGAGTTTTTTCTCAGACAAGTGGACTGGGATTCCCCCGTCTGTGAGGAAGCACTTGCCCAACGAGTTATGGAAACCCGACGAACACTCAAGCGTCTCTCCGAAAAGGAGTTTTGGAAGGAACTGGGCTTTGCCGACTTGGACGTTGAGCAGTATCTTCGCCAATCGCCACGAGTTCACTTGTCGGGTCACTCATTTGGCGGGGCAACGGCGCTTGTTGCTGCCATGCAGGAGGAGCAGGAGTCTAAACCCAATGAAAACCCCGTTCAAAGTGTTATGGTCTTTGACCCTTGGCATAAACCTTTGCAGAACGAACTGTTTTTGAAGCCGATAGAAGAGGGTCGCAACCGGTACACAACCCCGACGCTTATGGTACATTCTGATGCATGGGTTCAGGATAGATCCATTTGGAATTTTTTTCAACGCATTACAACACTTCTTTTTTCGCAACCTTCGATTTCTTCCCTCAGTGAGCGAGAGAAACGGATGAGATTTGTGACCGAAAAAACTGGCAGTACAAATCATTACTCGGTGAGTGACGTCGTTCTCTTAAGTCCGGTAATTCACGGCTGCAAAAATTCTATTTTGCCTCCGCGAGTGCAAATTATGGAGTGGTCCAACACATGTCTTCGTTTTATTAAAGAACATGCAATGTACACGAGCAGGACATCTGCGCGATAGTCTTAGAAATGTCGTTTCACAGGGAAGCTTGTTTTTATTGTGTGTGTGTGTTTTGTTTTTGTTTTTATTGTGTGTGTGTGTGTGTGTGTGATTTTTCTTTTTAAACACGATTGGGCGAGGAAAAAAGAAGAAAAGATGGAATACAATGCGTCTTTGTTTTTGTTGTTGTTTCTGTCCGCCTGTGGTTATGAATGGGGACGTCATTTTGGATGAGTCTTCTCCTACTGGTTTGCACGGCGTCTCGAGGAAAAGGGGCACAAACAACTCATTGAAAAAAATAAATAAAATAAAGGGTGTGGAGAAAAACGCCTTCAAACGAGGGGGGATTCAAGAATATACAAAGCTAGGAGAAGGCAATCATGTCAACACGACGACTTATGCACACAATGATTCGTGTGGGCGATTTGGACCGCAGCATCAAATTCTACACTGAGGCCCTTGGTATGCGTCTGCTACGCAAGTGGGACTGCCCAGAGGACAAGTTTACATTGGTCTTTCTTGGTTATGGCACGGAGAGTGAGACGGCAGTGCTGGAGCTCACCTACAACTACGGCCAGAGTGAGTACAAACACGGAGATGCGTATGGGCACATTGCCATTGGTGTGGAGGATGTCAATGAGGAAATTGCCCGGCTGAAGAAAATGAACGTGCCCATTGACTACGAAAGCGAGGACGGTTTTATGGCATTTATTGTGGACCCTGACGGGTATTATATTGAGTTGCTGAACACGGAAAGGATGTTGGAAAAGTCTCGAGAACAAATGAATGAACAGGGAACGGCTTAAACAAGGAAAAGGAAATTGCCCCATGTCCGTATTGGTTTGGGTTTTCTTAAATAATGTCTTACTTGACTTGTTTCTTTTTTTTCTTTTTTTTTTTTTTTTGAGAGGGTGGGGAAATGGAGAAACGTATGGGGAGGAAGATTTCTTATTTGTTATTACAGCTCTTATGGGTGCCGTCAAAGGATTTATTTTTATGTTATTTTATTTCTGTTGTTGTTGTTGTTGTTGTTGTTGTTGTTTTTGTCATTTGTAGTATCGGTATTTCCATCCATCTACATTTATTTATTGATGTATACATGTATTTATGTAAACAGAGGGACTCTGTCACGCCTCGTGCTGCTTCTTTTTTCTCTCTTTTGGTCCGTCTTATTTGTTGTTGTTGCTGTTTGTTTGTTTGGTCATGATTAGTGACTGAGAATGCTTGGCGCCGGTACATGGTTTGTGGGACTCACCATACCAACTGTGGTCGTCGTGGGCTTCTTTGCCTCACGCAAACGATTGGCATACCAGTGGCGTGAGGAACTCATGGACCCAACCGGTAACATTTACCCGCCAGTCACAGCGGCAGAGATGGAATTTTTTTGTCGCATACTGCCACCGTATCGAAGAGAGAGAAAAGGCGAGCCCTTGTCTGTGAGTGAGAACATCGGACTGTATGTTTCTCCTGATGCTTTTTCAGGAGAAGAGAGTCACGTGTTGCTTGACGAAGTTGTGCGATGGGCCTCGTTGTTTGGACAGGGAATTGACCCCAAGAAATTGGTGACGCTTGAGGAAAGGGCGAAGGCAGAAAGAGTGGACATGAGCTTTTGTCGTGACGTCGTCATTATTTCGGATCACGCGGAGGACATTCAGTTGATGAAGGCACCGTGGGGAACAGGCGACCGCATCAAGTTTGACATGATGCCGGCATCTCTACGCTACATGGTGAATAAGACGCAGCGCTCATTCAGGGGCATTGGTCGTCTTCGCCATGTGTATGTGGAATATTCACCGAGTGGTAAGTTCTACCACGAGCCACGACCAACAAAGGCCTTTGATGGTCATGATTATGTCATTATCCCACTAAGGCGGGATGAGAATGCTGCCGTAGTCACGTTTTCTCCTCTTCTCCGCTCTAAATTCTCCTTTGTTCGGGAAGTGCTTGAGAGTTCATGGACATCGCGCGATATTGATGCAATAGTCCCTCCAGGTGGTGCACTTCGTGTGTATGGAGCCGCACGCTACGAGTGGGGGTGGTGCATTCGCCCGCATAATGTCTGGTTTGGTCACAGAGATAACTCACTGGAGAAGTTCTCTGCGTCACCCGTACAGTGCGGCATGATACAAGCCATCACGCGCCGTCTGTTTCACTCTCTTGCTGAGCAGCCGAAGAATAAAGAGGCGGGGCTGGTGGTGCTGCACTTTGAGGGGCCACGCGACTCAAAGAAAGTACGATCGCTACTTCTTCATCCAGAGAGTCTTATTTTCGGGAGACCACCCAAGCCTGAGACTTTTGAGCAGTGGACGGAGGAACGGCCCACGAAAGACGCAGTTCGAGAAGAAGGTGTTTTTCTTTTCATGTTGAAAAATTACATGGAAATGTTCCGAGTCAGTTGACACGAGAGAATTGTGGTGATATGAGGCACAGACAAATATATACACACGTGCATGTTTGCGGCCAATTGTAGTTTTGGCCTTTCTGTCGGTGTGTTGTGAATTAAGAACGGCGAGGAGGGGAGTTTTATTTGTTCCTTATCCACACGAGACGTTAGGGTATTTTTCCCTTGCAATTGTGTGTATTTGATTTTTTTTCTGTCTTGAAGTAGTTAGAGAAGGTAAGGTGGATGCTGCGTCGTGCTGGTGTCATACGGCTTTGGAGACCGTCGAGGCCGCTTGCAACTCCCGCTGCGGGTTCCTCTCTAAGCAAAGGAACTCCCTCGTCTGCGTCCTCTTCAGCGTCAATATCGCCGTCTTCTCTTGCAATTTTGAAATATCCGTACGAGGTGGTGGATACACCAGGAAAGTTAGACGAGGCCGTTGGGTCGTTGCTGAAAGCCCGTTCCATTGCCCTTGACATTGAGGCTTTCTGTACAACCGAACAGGCGAAACAGTTGGGGCGTATTTCCCTTCTACAAGCATGCTCAGATGCGAAACCGGTGGTGTTTCTCTTTGACGTACTGACCCTTACGGCACCAACGTTTGTTAAGAGTGTGGAGCCCTTCTTGCGGAATCGGGGAATAAGAAAACTGCTCTTTGACTGCAGACGGGATGTAGAGGCTCTTAGCTCTCAGCTGGGCCTGAAACCGGAGGGCGTATTGGATCTGCAGGTATTTTTTACTGCCATTCAGTGGAAACTTCGTAGTGTGAATCGCCGTTCGGGCATGACGTACGTGCTGAAGAGCGTTGCGGGTCTTACACGACAGGATGGTGATTCTGCTGTGCAGGCCGCCATGACACTTGGTAACCGCCCCGTGTGGGACATTCGCCCATTGCCAGATCATTTTCTGGAGTATGCTGCCGATGATGTGCGGCATATTCTTCTTTTGGCCAACCATCTTGTGGAGAAGAGAGAATTTCCAGTGGATTTAGTTTCCGTGGAGCGTCTCACAGCCCAATATGTGGAGCACTATGCCGTTGGAAAGCCCGTTACCGAGGAGGCTGATGCGACACCAGCCGAAGTAAACGTTGCTTGGTTAGAACGGTACATTGGGCCGGGCGGGGTTTGCCACTTCTGTGGCGCCAAGGGCCACACGGAGGCCGAGTGCTTCAAGAAGCAGAACGGGAAAGCCAAGTGCTCATTTTGCGGCGAGAGTGGGCATACAGCAAGAAACTGCTTTAAAAAGCATCCACAGCTACTGAAATGTGAAAAATGTGGACAACTTGGGCATACCAGTGCAAACTGCTTCCGAACAAACCCTTGTATTCACTGCGGTGGTCCGCACAATAGTGCCAATTGCCACAAGATGTTGCGGCAGCGAAACTTTTTTGACGAAAGATCCTCTTCTTGAATGGATGGGAAGGAGGATACAGTTGTTTCCTCTGGTTTCCTCGTTTCACCCTTTGTTTCTCTCTCTCTGGTGTGGCGTAGACGATACGGAGGGGAAAAAAAAATTGTGTTGTTGGCAGACTTATCGCCCTCTGTCATGTGTGTTTTTTGTTTTTTCTTCCTCACTCCCTTCTCTACCTCTTGGGAGGTGGGACGGGACGCAGAAGAAAACAGGGCTGTTGTCAAGACTTTTTTTTTTCTTGATTCCTTTTGTGACTGTGTGACTTTAATTTCCCATTATTTATTCTCCCTTTTTGTGTTTATTCTTGTGATCTCTTCGTATCCTTTTTGATGCGGGAATAGAGAAGCGTTTCACTTTGACTATTTGCTTTTCCTTTGCCTTTCTGTTTGTTCCATTTTTGTTTTGAAGGAATTTTGCTGTTCCCTTGTTTGGGTATTCCGACCATCCAACGCTCTGTGGCACAGCGGGAAATAAAATGCTCCGTTTTACCCCTCCATTTATGCTTTGGCGCCGATGGGCTCCCGCTGCTGTCGCCGCCGCACTGCCAGGTCTCTCGCTGCGGCTCTCGAGCAGTGAGAAGGATTATTACAAGATTCTCGGCGTAAGCCGGACGGCATCGGTGAGTGACATTAAAAAGGCATACCGCAAGCGGGCCCTGGAAACACATCCGGATCAAGGCGGAAAGAAGGAGGAATTTGCCGAGGTTGCAGAGGCCTACGAGTGCCTTAGCAACGAGGAGAAGCGTCGTGTCTACGATCAGTATGGTTCAGAAGCAGCCGCAAATATGAACGCTGCGAATGGGATGGGTGGATTTGGAGCTCACTCGGCTAATGACATTTTTGCCGAATTTTTTAAGAGCAGAATGGGTGGATTTGGAGATGACATGCGACGTGGCCCGGCACAAGTCCAACCCATCGAGGTGAAGTTGCGCATGACACTGGAGGAGATTTATAAGGGGGTAACCAAAAAGCCCCGGGTAAACCGACCCGTGAAGTGTGCCGATTGTCGTGGTTTTGGCACTAAAAGTCAAACAAAGAAGCCGAAATGCGCCCACTGTGATGGCAGTGGACATGTCGTACACCAGCACCGCATGGGTCCTGGGATGGTGCAGCAAACAGTAACGCAATGTCCTCGTTGTGGAGGCTCCGGCACAATGGCAAAGTCAGACGATCAGTGTCCCAAATGTCATGGAATGGGCTACCGCCACCTTTCACAGGAAGTGAACATTGATATTCCTCCCGGTGTGCCTTCAAATGTTACTCTGGTGGTGCGTGGTGAGGGCGGAACGTTGCCCGACGCAGAACCAGGGGATTTGCACGTGCATGTTGAAGTGGCTCCTCACAAAATATTTACACGACGTGGTGATGATCTATTGATGAAGAAAGAAATATCCCTCTCTGAGGCTCTTTTAGGTACGCAGTTCTCTGTAAAAATGTTGGATGGACGTCATGTTACGGTAAAGGTGCCTCACGAAAATGTTCTTCGACCTGACAGCGTTCTTAAAGTGTCTGGAGAGGGCATGCCAAGTGCCGACGGTGGACGTGGCGACCTCTATGTTATTACGCACTTGAAGATGCCGGCAAAACTCACAGCTCAACAACGAGAAGCCATTATTCAGGCCTTTGGCAAACCGAACGAGGAGAAGCACACATCCGCTGATAAAACTACTACCGCGCGTGTGATGCGTGAAAGCGCACAAGAACTGGAAGATGCGATGCGCGATCAGTGGGATGCTCAAGAGGGCGGTGGTTTTCGTTCTGGAGCCGGAGGCCAGGGGCGCGGCAGACAGAGTTCTCAACAGGCGGAGTGTGTTCATCAGTAGCCTGCGTCCCAACCCCTTTTTCCACCAAAATTGAACGAAATAAAGGCCAGTGCACATGCTCTTCAGTACCAGCCAGCGGTCATTGTGCTTGTAGTTCTGATTTGCACAAGCTTTATTGTACAGTTTAATATCGATCGCTGATCCAAGGTGAGGAAATAGAAGTAAAGAGCATGAGAGTAAGAAGAATAATGAGAGAGGAGGAAACTTTTTTCACCTTGTCGCACGACGAAGGACTCGGTGCACCCTTGACACCCTCACAGAGACAACTTGCACCTCGCCATGGTGCTCATCCCAAGAAACCATTATTATTATTATTATTATTATTATTATTACTATTATTATTATTAATTTTTTATTTGTTTTTGGTTGTTGTCGTCAATTTAATTTTTTGTGATTATTTGTCGTGCACGCGTCTGATTTCATCCGTGTGATTTAGCGGCTGAGTCACCGCAATTATTATGCGTTGGCCATAACGAAGCGCGGCAATAATCCATGAGAAAGAGAGGGAGGGAAGGATGTCATAATGGGTGTTTTAAAGTTTCTATTCACTTTGGTCTTTTTTTTTTTTGTGTGTGTGTTTGTCTTGAGACTTACATCGCAGTGAATTTACTTTCTTTTTTATTCTTATTATTATTATTAACTGTGTGTGGAGGGGGTTATTTCTAGTGCACATGATGGTGCCCGTCTCCTGCAGGGGTCCACGGGCAGGGGACTTTGGCCTTCGCTTAGAAACAGGGGGATATGTTTGACGCGGCCGTTGACGTGAAGACCGTCACTCGCATTTGAGGCTTTGCGGATGCTCCGGTGCAAGTGAACAAATTGGAGGTTATTTTTGCTGTCACCGCCACCGTTTTTTGTTTTTGCACCAGAATATGTTACGGTGGCAATTCTTTGGGAAACGCATAGCCGTGAAGAGAGGGCAAAGCGTTTTCCCGGCCGCCTTCGTATGCGTGAGCAAATGCTTCTTTAGCATCAATTTATGAGAGTGATGGTGGAGGAGGATTACGACTTGCGCTCGGTATTTGGCACTTTTTTTTTTCCAATGTTCAATCTCTATTTTGTTGTGGATGCATTTATCCGCTTTATGGCATTTCACTGCGGGGCTCCATTTGTGGCCCTAGCAGTGACACCATCATTTTGCTCTTTTTTTTTTTTTGTTTTGTGTGTTTGTGGAGAGGGTTTTGTTTCAGTTTTTTTCCTGTGAAGCAGCAGCGATGGGCGAGTTTGCTGCCGCCTCTGCGGCTCCAGTGGGACCCGTTCTGTTTGTTGGCGGTATCCAGCGTTCTTCTTTGGGGCAAATCGTTTGTAAAGGACAATTGAAGCTTGGGACCCTTCGTGAGTATATCTCTCTCTTTGTGCGTGTGCCTCTGTACGGGCCTTGCCTCCCTCGCCTCCACTCGTTGCCGTTTCAAGGGTGAGACGGGAAAAAAAGAGAAGAAAAAAAAAAGCACACCAAGAGACAAATTGGGGTCCACTATATATTTTTGTGTACACGCACGCATAGCGCACCTGATACTTCAGAAAAGGAGCAGAGGACGTTTGGGATAGAGACTATAGAGAAAGGGAGAAGTTTACATGAGCTCCAAGTATGATCGTGTGAAAGTGAGGGTACATCTTGGTGGCGAACACTACTACACGCTATCACGCTTTACGCTCTCAAAGATGTTGACATTCTGCAAGCTCCCAGTCACAGTGGCGGTAAAGGTGAGCCTAGATCTGAAGAAGCTCCTTGTGGATCAGGAGAAACTCGATATATCGCAGGCGGAGCTCGAGGCCGCTACTTTTCTCATGATGGCACAGTACGGCTATGGCGAAGCACACGCAAAACTCTTCCCTGTGATTACACGCTTCTACGTGGAGCGCGTTCCTCTTGTCATTCTCATTGCAGGAAGTGGATACTGTGGAAAGACCGCCATTGCGCATAGCTTGGGCTCCAAGCTCAATACACATAATGTCGTGAGCACTGAAGTATTGCTTGAAATAGCCAGCTCCATTTATAATGGGTTCTCCGCATCGTCTCTCTCCACCGGGAGTCATGTGGCTGGTCAGGCTTTTTGGCCGCAACCCGAAGAAAAATCCTTGTGGCTTCGTGAAACTGAGACGGAAGAGGAGTTTGTTTCCACATGGTGTGCGTGGTCGGAAGCTATTTTTCCGCTTGTTGAGGAAGAGTTAAATAAGGCTGTAACGGAGGGCAAGGTTCTTATTCTGGAGGGAAGCCTTCTTAATCTGGCCGCGCACAGGCCGTACCTTCTGCGGGAATTCCAGCGACGTCATGGTGCCATTGTGGTTGCTTTTTATGTCACTTCAGACGATGCCTCCTGCCGATTTTTTGTGGAGCGATTTCTCTCTTCCCGTTACGCTTTCCTTCCGTCCCCCTACAGGAGCGACGGGGCCGCTGCAGTGGCGTGGATGATGCAGCGCTTGAAGGCCGTGGCTGAAGTACAAAATCAGTGGTTTGCTGACAGAGGTAGCGGCAGTGGTGGTGGTGGCATGGAGCGTTGTTGGATTTGTGGTGAACGGAGCGGCAATTCCAAATTGGCCCAAACTTCTGCATGTGACGGAAAAGAAATGTGCGTCCGTGGTGCTGAGGCGAGCCTGTCACCGCCACCATCAGCGACATCTTCATCGGCCGTAGAGCTTCCGGAAGGAGCTGAGGAAACCGTTCATGTGCACTTTGTGAATTGCTCCGTGGAGACACCGTTGGAGACCTCCGATGTGATGCAGGAGCTCGTACTAGAGAGAATCATGTTGGAGCTCCGCCAAAGGAAATCCTTGCTGTAGCGCACACTGGACAAGTAGAGACGAAAATGGCGTCATACAGAATCCATTACCTCTGGAAAGGGATACGGGAAGTCAATATATTTACGGTTAAATGCGAGTGTTTGTTGTTGTTGTTTTTGTTGTTGTTGTTGTTTTGGTTCTGTTTTTGAATGCCCTAGCTGTCATTTTCAAATGCATTTTTTTTGCTATTGTGTGGATATATTTCTTTCTTCTCCTACTTTTTTTCTTTTCCTCTTTCTCTCTCCGTAGGTTTACTTCTCTTTCTCTCCGCACCAATGTGCACTGCTTGTTTTACCACGTGTACAGTCACCCTTAGGTCTTTTTGCGGCTGTTTTTTTTCCTAGTCGTTGAAATTATTCAGGGTCGGCGAGAGCTTTTCTTTTTGGTCGTTGTTTATTTGTTTATTTTCTCCTAAGTTGCGCTCCTCCGTCTTATCGTACCCACAGAACGATAATTAACGCGTGAACACCGTTTTTTTTTTTTTTTCCTGTGTGTGTGTGTGTGTTTTGGCAGTATTCCCCTTCTTCCCTTTGGTCTGTGGCTTACATTACATTGCGTTGCATTGTATTCGCTCTCTGAAATATATTTTATTTTGCCGCCACATCCATTTTGGGGAGTGTGTGTGTGTGTGTGTGTGTGTGTGTGTGTGTGTGTGTGTGTGTGTGTGTGTGTGTGTGTCATTTCTATTTCTTCTCCATTTGTACATGCCGTTGCTGTTAAAAACAACAATGACGATATAAAACGAGGGGCAATGACATCTTTTTATGACTATTTGTTATGAATCTGCATGACTTTTTCCTTGTCTGCTTCTTTTGCTCCCATTATTCGTTTATTTGTGAGGAAGGAACACATGCGTCGCACCCTGAGGTTCAGAGCGGGGTTCCTGCAAAACCTGAACTCCGGCAAGAACAATTTCTTTACATCACTCTGGAATAAACCGCAGACCCGGGACGAGCGCGTAAAGGAGTACGTGCCTGAGGTCCTTGCGGAGAGTTTAGAAGAGCAGCGAGCTGTGTTGGAGGAGAGCACTTCCCGTGACGTTATTGTGGAGCTGGGGCACAAGGTGCTCCGGGAAATTGAAAACAAGAGTCCCACGCCCAGTATAGCTCCTCATCTGAACAAGATTATTCAGGAATACGGCTCCAAGGATCTCATTGCTCAGAGACCACTTAGTTATTTGTTGTACCCGAGTTCAACACTGATTGGGGGGCAGCTGCCAAATGAGCTGGTGGCGAACTTTTCGGACAACCTCCGGAGCCTCGTGGAGGAAGTGGAACGGAACGGATGTTCCGCCAGACACAAATCTGTTAAGGGAGAGAAAAAAGAAAAAGACAAAACGAAGAAGGAAGAAGATGTCTCGCATGAGACTAGTAGCAGCGGGGCCAACGGTGAGAATTTGTCCTCCGCTTTAAAATCTGGCCCTGTGGTTATGGCATCAAAGGAGGAACATGAGCCAATGGACATTACACTTTTCGTGAGGATAATTTCTGCAATGGCCCTGGCCAACGTGCAACATGGGGACTGGAACAACGCCGTGCGCTGTGTAGATGTAGCCATTGCTCATGTTGTGGAACAGTCGCGGTTGGGAGGGCTTCTTGGTATGAAGGCCGGGATTTTGGTTTATCAGAAAAAGTACGAGGAGGCGGTGGAGTGTGCAAACTTAGCCGTAGAGGCTTCGGGAAACATTCAGGGTTATATTCATGGTGCTTTTGCGTTGCGTATCCTTAAAAGGCCCGCGGAAGCAGTGCAACTTCTTGAGAGGGGACGAGAACAGCATCCAATGAACACGCAACTTCTGGCGCAGATGGAAGGAGCGCAGAAGGATTTGGAGCATATGGCGAAGGTTGCTAAGACGATGATTAGCACTTGAGGGGGGATATTGGGGAGCATTGGAGATTTATAAAGAGGGATGGAGAGAGAGAGAGAGAGTATAGTTCCAGTTGTTCACATGTCGTTTTTATTCTTGTTTCTTCCCTTCTCTTTGTCTTTTCCCTTTTCTTCTCTTTCTGTCACTCATTTTCTCTATTTTTTTTTCTTTTGTCTGGTTGGAGTGCATATGTGCTGTTGGCGTTAGAGAGTGGAGGTCGTTTTATTTTTTGTTTTTTTTTTTGCACGTGTGTGTGCTTCTGGTGTCGTTTCTTTCTTTTTTTTTTTTCCCTGTTGCTCGATTTGTTTTCTGTGGGTGGTTGATCCTCGTGCATTTTGCATCTTGTTTTACTTTGTTCACTTTTTTCTTTGTGTGTGTGTGTGTGTGTGGTCTGGCGAGCACCTGCAAAACAAAGGAAAAAGGAGTTCTCTTTGCACGTGTCAACTTGTTTACGTCGTGACGGCGTGTTATGACGGCCGAAGGCGCCGAGCGGCATCAAGATGCTGGCAATTCGAACGGCCTTTACGCCGTGTCAAAGAAGACGTTGACGAAAAGGAGGGAATCATGTGCACGTCATTCTTCTCTAGTTTCACTCAATTGTCATGACGGTAGTGATGAGAGTTGTCTGAAGTTTTTTATTATTTTCCGCATGGAACAGCACGAGGTGGAGGTGGTGTGGTCCTACCCACTCCCTTTTGCCGCGGTGGAGGCGAGGCACCCGAAGTTTTTAGAGTTTGTCTACTCCAACTCCGGCAATTCGTACTCTGTGGAGGACCTCAGCCACACATTTGTTATGACGGATGGGCACGGGGTTCGCATGTACGGGCACTGCACAGCCTTCGTGAATGGAGAAGCAGCTGTTAGTCTCTCACCATATCCCTGGTGTCGTTTTTTTGCACAACTTGCCACACTCTTTCGCACGAACGGGTATGACCATGGGAAGGCGATTGTGGAAGCGCTTTGTAGGAGCCCCACACCACCATCCGGAAGTAATTTTGTGCTGTCTACCAGCATTCCCATTGTATTCCAAAGGCCATATGACAGGCTGTGTTCTTTTATTGACACATCCCCCATTGACCTGATTAATATATTTCCGGAGACGGAGACGTTGTTTTCCGTCTTGGCCGATTTATTGCTGGAAAAGCGTGTTATCGTAGTTGGGCCGAATTTTGGCCTTGTCTCGCACGTAGTGATGTCGCTGCAAAGCCTCATCTCTCCTTTTGATTGGATGCATATTTTGGCTCCCATTTTACCGAGTAGTCTTATGGACGTCTTGGCAGCCCCGACGCCATATCTTGTAGGCATTCTCAACTCACAGATTCCACTGTTGGAGCGCGTGCCCATTGAGAATTGCGTGTTGATTCACTTGGGATCCACTGGAATCTGCGAAGGCGTACGCTACCACAATGAAGAAAAGCACTCGCTGCCCAATTCAGGAACCTTCAGTGCACTTTGGATAGGCTATACAACTTTCAAGATGCGGGACCCGCATGAGCGGACGGCACGGGATCTTTGCAGTCTTTTTCTAACTTATTATGCTGCATTATTAGGTGGTATTGGGATTTGTGGTGCGGGGGCCCACACGCTTTCCAATGCAAGTCCAAAGGACGTCCCGTTCTATAAGTCGCTTATGAACACGCAATGCTACAGCGCTCTTACAGAAACAATTCAGGAGGCTTTGGCTGATAAGAATCATGCGTGGATAAACAATGAATTTTGTGTTGCACTTGTCCGAGGACACGCGAAGATCTACCCTCAACATTACCAGCAACTTATTTTCGAGGAAAACAAGGGAGTTGAATACACGACTCGTTACGAAAATTGCTTTGGAAGTAGAGAAGAACTGACAGCACTTTCTGCCGCGATTCACGGATGTGGAGGACATCAAATGGGCGCTGGTAGGTTGTTTTGTCAGTGTCTGCGCGGTCTGATGAAACATCTGGTGTGCTTGAAGGATCACTCTGTTTTGGTGACGCTAGAAGCCTCCAGTTTTGCTAGGGGCTATGGGGATTACGACTCTGACCCTCGGTACAGTCCTGATTTTGTTGAGATGATGGTTGTCCAACCGTCCAATGACACAAAGTGATGCTCACCATCACCAATAAGGTGGCTGGGGTTTAATGAACGAAGATTGGAGACGTTTTAAGCATCACGGACACACCTCCCCAGAGTGGAGGGGGGAAAGGGACAAAAATGAGGAAAGGAGCCGAGACCCTCAACGTGCGCTCTACCCCTGTGTCTATATTCCTACCACCAGCACCACCACACGTGTATATCCTTTCCTTCAGTAAGAGTTTGGATGTGAGTGAGCTTTTTTATTATTATTGGTATTATCTTTTTTATCTTGCACATGTGAATTGCGTTCCCACTTTTCTGATTGCACTCATGCACTTTTTTTTTTTTTTTTTGCGGTGATGACGAAAGTGAAGAGGTCGAAACCACTTTTTTTTTTTTTCTTTTTGGAAGGGGGCTGCAGGAGCCGCTAGTGCTGGTGGTGGTGGTGGATTTAAAATATATTTTTTTTTCACTTCTTTTTGTGTGTGTTCGTGTTGTTCTCTCCCTCCCACGGGCAAGGGAGAAGAAGTGCGAGACATCAAGGAAGGGGTGTGAGCGGGTTTTTTGCGAGAGCATTTTAGGGAGTTGTTTTCATGCGTCGTGGAGGAAATATCTTGCAGACTGTCGCAGGCCGCTATGCGGTGTGGTCACAGCTGCGGTTCATGTCTTCAACCCCATGTCAATTGCAGGGATCACGTGTTGGGCATTACCGCCCCTTCTCCTCGGAGGATGAGGTGCAGCTGGCGGCAGTACTCACGACAAAACCGCGGCACGTTGCGCGTTACGTGCGTCAGTCGATGCTTCATTCCCGGCGGCGGATCACACAGTTCCGCAACAGCGTCACCTTCTTGATGATTGCGCTGCAGTCCAAACTGCAAAAGGGTGAGATTGCCCCGGACGATGCGTTGGCGCTGGCGGAAAGCCTCATGAGGGAGTGCGTTGACCTCCGCCAAGGAGACATGGCGCATTTGCTTTTTCGTGCCTCTATTCGCTTTCGGAGGTATGGAATGAAGATTGGGTTTCAGCTGGTGAAGCATCTCTTTGACTCATATCGTACCGATAACGCGAAGGATCTTATGAAAAACATGGCGGATGAACTGCGCGGCGAAGAGTCTCTCAAGATGCTTGCAGTCGTTGCGTATCAGTTTGCCGGAGAATACGACGAGGCGCGTGAACTGCTTCAGGAAATTCCGCAAGAGCGGCTTGTGACCTCGGACTACACAGCACTCATTGAAGCATACGGCATGACATCCAGGTACGATGAAATTATGAATCTTGTGCGACAACTTTTTTCTACGCATAAAGCCAACCAGGGTTATTTGGATTTGGATGCCATCTTATCCACAGGTCTTGTGGCAATCCGTGGTGACAACAATGGGATGGAACAACTGAAGGAAATGGCCTTGGAACACAGGGTCAGGCTTTCAGAAAAAGCCATAGGGGCGATCATGCGATCTCGTTTGACCAGCGCAAAGTCAGCAGCGGAGGTTTACAATCTAGAAGAGGCACTTCGCCATGAGTTGGCGGTGCAAACACTCGGCATGGCTGCTGAGACGGCTGTTATTGCAAGGTGCAGCGAACTCCTTTCAAGAAGTCAAAAGTCCGGGGATGATGTCATGCTGCGAAAGGTGCAGCACTTGGAAAGTGTCGTGGAAGAGTGCGTGGTGAATGACACTGTGGATGATATCGAGCCGTCGTACCTGCTCTCATTGATCAAGGGGTATGGTGTGTTGGGTCGTTTTGAGGATATGAATCGTTGTTTTACCTCCTTGAAGGAAGCGGGGGTTGTGCGAGATCATCGTCTTTACGACGAGATGCTGCGTTGGTATGCGCATGCCTATAATCTAAAGGAAGTCATTGCCTCTAAAGGAAGAAATGCAAGAAAGACAAATTTTTCACACGGCTCAGACCTATCAACATGTCTTCCGCGTTCTTGACAAGTATTACCCTCGAATGGTGGAAAAGTACATGAATGAAATGCGTAATAAGGGAATCCAGATTGAGTCCTTTATGTACCCAACACTTTTGCGTGTCTTTGGGGAATTGCAAGATTTCCACATGGTGGAACAACTCTACCGAGAAATCAAGAGCAAGGTCGCGATGGGCAACACAAACGTCTTCTCCGCTGCTGTTGTTGTCCAGCTTCTCAAGTCTTATCAAAATGATATGGAAAGATGTAATTCGATCATCCACGAAGCTGAAAATTATGGCCTTTTGGCGAATGAGCTTGTGCAGGCGGAGATTGTGCAGTTTTATTCGGTTCATAACCGTTATGACTACCTCCACGCATTGGTGTCACGTCTGCCGTACAAGTCCCCAGACATGTACCGTGTTCTTCTTCGCGATGCCGCGAAGCGTAAGGACCGCCGTACCTTTAATGCACTTCTGAAAGAGATGCAGGAAAATCAGGTCGTTATCAATGAACGCATCTTTGGAGTTGTTGTTTTAGCGTTGGGGTACTTTAATGACTTGGATGGGGTCAAACGTTACTTCCACGAGGCCCTTATGAATAATGCGGTACGAACTCCGCTGTTTTTCGCTCTTGCAGCTTCTGCCTTTGCCCGCCTGGGTGACACGCAGGCGGTGGATGAGTGTTGGCGTGACCTTGTTGAGTCCAAGGTGACCATTACAATGCCTGTGTACAACAAGTTTCTTGATCTCTACATGGCAAACAATAATGTGGAGAAGGTGCAGCAGATACTGAACACCATGATGAAGCTCGTGCCGCCCAACCCCGTTACAGCCACAACAGTCGTTGATATGCTTGGCAAAATGGGACGCCTTGAAGAAATGGAGTCCGTCTTGGAAGAGATGTCGCGGTCTACCAACGCGGTTCCAACGCAAGTGACATATCATCAGGCAATGAACGCCTACGCAAAGACTGGGGATGTGGCAAAGATGGAGGCCATGCGGGCGAAGATGAAAGAAGAAGGGTTTCAGGAAAATCATGTCACTTTTAACATTTTATTTGAAGGGTATGGACGCGCAAAACGGTATGAACATATCAAAGAGTTGGTGGAGGAACGCAGGAGCAAGCAGATCCCTATGGAAGAGTTTGGTTACATGGGACTCCTCAACATATATTCACGTGCTCGTATGGTGGAAGAGACGTCAAAACTTGTGGAGGAAATGGTTGCCAGTGGTGTGCCCTTTACAAGTCGAATGTTGTCGGCAGTGGCATCGAGCTTCAGCCACATTGGTGACATTCCGAAGATGGAGCATTATATCTCACTCCTTCTTTCTCACCCTGAATGCCGTCATCGGGATGTGGAGTCTATTTATCTCATCTACTCCAAGATGCGGGACACAGTTAAACTACAAGAGCTACTAGACACTGAGAATTTGCCCAAAACGCAGTTTATTTACAATATCTGCGTTGCGGCATTTGCGCGGTCAGGGGAGCACACTAAGGTGGCGACCCTCCTGACACAAATGGAGGAAAAAGGGTTCTTCCTCACACGCAATACAAGCATAACACTTAGCTCCCTCCTGCTCAAGGCCGGAAAACTGGAGTTGGCGCAGACGGTGCTAAAATGGAAGGGATGTGCTCCACATAGGGACGAAGAGGAGGGAGATGAACTGGCAGCAGATGAATCTCAACTCCTTCGAGCTGATAATGATGTCTCATCATCATCATCGTCGCTGATTCCAGAAACAACGAGAGATGAAGCAGCTGCTGTTGTGACCGTCGGTGGTGGTGGTGTGACTGCATCCTAGTTGTAATTGACACATTTTCTTTTTTTTTTTTTCAATAATTATTTAGGGGTGATGAGCCGCGAGGCGTCGCGCTGTTTTAACCATAAAAAGTCCCACCTTCCATTCTTTACGCACGGTCTCCGCCTTTTTCTTTGTCGTGTGTATGTATGTGTCCGCCAATATATATATATTGGAGGCACATTTGGCTTTGCTCTCTTCTTCGTTCTCCTTTGTGTGTTTGCCGTTCTCCGTTTGGTGAGGGGGAGTTTTGGGGGCCTCAAAGAGAAGATCTTCTTCTTGTTGCGTTTAACGAAGGCAATGCATCTTCCAATGAAGCAGGACGGTGCCGCGATGGCTGTCCCCGCGGACGTCAGTTTTGACGCTGCGGTGCAGCGTACTAACGATGACAGTGTCGTGAGCAAACGCTCGGCGGTGTTCCATGGGTACTTTGAGGATCCGTATCTTCGACATTTTGTGCGAAAGTTCTCTCGGCGTTCCCCGTTGATAAATCGTGGGTACTATTTGCGTATGCTGGTCATTACGGATCTTATTGAGAAATGCATTTGTCACCTTCAATGCGCTGACCCCTCCATTGCGGCACCCGTGCAGGTTATCTCCCTTGGCGCCGGATACGACACTCTCGCCATGCGTCTTAAAGAAGAACCCCAATACGCCAATGTGCACTTTTACGAGGTTGACTTTCCATCGGTCATGCAGTCCAAGTCGGAATTGGTGCGGGCAGCTCCAAAAGGCGCCTTTAAGGAGGACTTGGTTGCGGAACCGGCACAAGAACTGGTGAAACTGCATGGAAACAATTACCGTGCGATTGGAGTGGATTTACGTGGCACGGAACACGACCTGATTAACTCCCTAATGAAGGCATCGCAGTACTTTTCCCCCAATCATCCCACAGTTCTCTTCGCCGAATGCGTCATGCAATACATGCCCCCGTCTTCCGCAGCTGATCTCATCAAGCTTATAGCATGCTCCTTTTCGAGGGCTATATTCGTTGCGTACGATCAGGTGAATCCGGCAGATAGCTTTGGTAATGTGATGCAAGTTTCCCTCCGTGCTAAAGGCAGTCCATTACTTGGGCTTGCAGAAACTCCAGGAAAAACAGCAATGCTTCGCCGTGCCCTTGAATGCAGGATGCAAGAAGCGCGTTTTGCAAATTTCCACGAACTTTCGCGGCATTATCTGATGGGGGATGAGCGGCAGCGTGTTGAGGCACTAGAGCCATTTGATGAGGCGGAAGAATGGTGTGAGATGTGTGAACACTACGGCATCACGATGGCTACGACATCGCATGAAGTTGGCATGCCTGCCCATCCAGCTTTTAAGGAAACGCCAAGCGAGACAACAACAGAAGGCTCAGAGGAAGTGGCGCAATCCCTTGTGCGTGTTGAAAAGTGGCCAAGGGGTCGTTTTGGTTTTGAAGGTTGGGGCAATGGACAGGCGTTTTCAGAGAAACTTTCGTCTGGTGATGTAATCATTGTGTCATTCGGTGGCTTTTCTGCCACGCGGAGCCATCAGAGGACGAACACAGTGTATGTTCATAGTCTTCGTGAAGGTGATTGCAAAGTCATCACTGCAGCTTCCAGTGTTGAACCACCCACTCTCGTGTTTCATTCTTTCAGTCGTGTAGCGCGTGGGGTCTACGTTGTGCTTGGTGGCCGCACAAATCCCAAGGATGTAACGATGGATGCGTACCTGCTGCAGCTGGAGCTACCCGAAGAAACTGAGGAGCTGCAAAAAACACATCTATTGGCTCTGTGGACAAAACTCGTGCCTGTGGCAGAAGCCAATAAGCTCCCGGAGGCGCGTTACCGTCATGCAGCAACGACTGTCGAGAATAGAACAAAGGAGGAATTGGAACGGCCTATTTTTGTTTTTGGAGGTCGTAATGGGGCAGGCCATTTTTTGAACGATGCGTGGATGGCGACAGTTTGTGGCGAGAAGATACATTGGAAGCATTTGCCACTTACAGGAGATATCCCGCCGCCGTGTTGCTCCAGCGCCGTTATTGATCTTCCTTCCACCACCGCCGTGTTGCTTAGCGGTGGCTTGATGGCAGGCGATGTTTGCGAGGGTGCCGTATGGCGTGTGAATTGGACGAAAGGCAATTGTCGCAGAATGCCATACACGGTGTTCCCGCGTTTTTCTCATACCATGTGCCACGTGGAGGTGGGCGGTGTGGCGTGTGTGCTTGCCCTTGGCGGCTCGACCTGTCGGCCACGCGAAGGACATCCGTCTGCGGTTCTCCTCAACCCTGAAACAGGTGAGGCAGCATGCGTGCTAGCACTTCCCCCAGAATGCCCAACGTGGACCCGACACTGCTGCATCTCACTGGGCAATGGTGTTGTAGCGGTTTTTGGTGGTGGTTTCACGTGTTTCTCATTTGGCACCTTTGCTGCCAAGCCGTTGTTTCTTCTCCTGGGCGAAAGGAGCGACTGGCATGTGACCAAACAGCCCAAAACAGCGGTGCATTTGTCTCAATCGTCCCCATCTCCTCTTCTTTCACGTAAACGGCCCGCCGTTGAGGCCCAGCCGTTCAGCAAGGAGGCCTTTTTGGCACTTGTACGTCAACCAAATCGACCTGTTGTATTCCGCAAAGTTAATATGGGCCGCTGTGTCGACCTTTGGGCAAACCCAACGTACTTGAAGGAGGCAGAGAAGAACACGATAGTTTCGGTTCATGTTGCTCGAGAAACTTACTTGCTTGACTTTGTAAAAAAAAATTTTACTTTCCGGCATGTATCTTTTGGTTCGCTGGTGGACCACTGTGTGAAGGCAGAGGAGAATCCTCACGCGGCTGGATCCGAGGCGTGGTATCTGCGTGCGGTGGCGCCTAACATGAAAACGGAACGCGCAAATGTATGGAAGGATTTTCCAAAATTAGGAGGCGACTTTGTACTTCCACCTGCCGTGGCGGAACATGTCGAGTCCCGTATGCATCAGGCCTGTCTTCGTCTGAACGCTCCGCCCCTGCAATTGTGGACGCATTACGACACCCTTGACAATGTTCTGTGCCAGGTTGTAGGGAAAAAACGTGTTGTTCTCTTTCCTCCCAGTGAGTACAATAATCTTTACATGAGCGGCAGTTCCTCGGCTGTGCTGAATATTGATGCACCAGACTTGGGCCGATTCCCTCGCTTTGCTGACGCATGTCGCCACGCTACTGAGGTTGTGCTGGAGCCGGGAGATATGCTTTTCTTACCTTCCCTCTGGTTTCACCACATTACGACGATGGAGGGAAGTTATTCCATTAGCGTAAACGTCTTCTTTGAGCGGTTCCCCCACGAAGATTATGATAAGAAGGATTTGTATGGAAACAAAGACCTCCCAGCCGCAGCAAGACTACGCAAACGCATTGTTGAGCAGGTGCAGCAGCTTGTTTCGGAACCTTTCATAGAAAAAACAAGCGATGGAAAGCCATTACCACCAGACTTTGTTGAATTTGCACTGCGGCAGGCCATTCAGGACCTTGAGGAAATAAGTGATAACATGGCGGTTGCCCACAGGGGGAGCAAGCGTCTCTAACCGCTTGACAGCTCTGATAGCAAACTAAAAAAAAAAAGAAGATTAAGAAACGGAGAAGATTATTGTTTTCACCAAGGGCATGGAATGGGGGAAGGGGGAGCGATGGAAAAGAACATTAAAGATTTAAATATTTCTTGAATACATATGAGAAACCTTCATAATATATATTCACACATAGACACATTTAATATATGTGTCTGAAAGAATGTGTGCATGTTGTTTATTTTTTTCTTTTATTTATTTATTTTTTGTTTTGTTTTCTTTTGTTTTTTAGTTTATTTTTTTAGTCTATTTGCCCTCTACAAAGGCAAGTAGGGCGGGGGGCGGGGGGAGAAGGAATATCTACACCAAGATTTTTGGGTGGGATAGGCAAGGAGGAAATACGGGCCACATTTATCTCTTTTTTAAACACACACACACACACACTCTCTCTCTCTCCCAGGATCTCATTCTTTTCTGCGTATACGCACGAATACACTCACAGAGGAGAACATTACACGAATAAATTAAAAATAAAGGGGAATTTGAACAAGGAATTGGTGGAGGGGTACCATCGCGGTTTTATTATTATTATTATTATTTCCTCTTAACCCCTCTTGCTTCAGCGGTGATGATTTACCCACGTTTGCGGGTGGAGGTTTCTTACTCCTCCACTGTTATCATGATGTGGGTAGTTCTACTAGCTGTGATGTCATGGAACGCCAATCACTCCATGCAGAGCCTGACCATTTTGTTTCTTTCCACCGTCGCATTGACATCGCCCCACGGAGAGAGTCGAATGCTTCTTCCCATGCTGTTCTTGTCGGAACACTTGCTAGATAATCTCTTTTTATCAGGTCGATCCCCACTCGAGTTTTATGCTTCAACGCTCCTCTCCTACCTTACGCTTGTTGTTTGTCGTGCTGCAAGGAAGAGGAAATGCAATGAAAACATCTTCATTGGATCTGTCATTTGCGCCGCCGAGGTTATTGTGGTGTTGTATTTCATTTCTGAGGACTGTGTCATGTCTTTTGGGGCTGCTGCATTTGTGTTGTTAGGACTTGCGTTTTTCCTTGCCCTCCTCCCTGTTATAGGGGAAAATGAGGCCGTATTGATCAGTTCATTGGTGGGGTTTTACATTTTTGACATGGTGACAAACAACAGCCTTACTGAAGGGGAGTCATCGCCTCATGCACCCGGTCTCTTCACGAAGAAGACACACATTGCGGCACGAGGGGCTGTTATTTGTGCCATTTCTATGAATGCGGTATTGTTCCTGGGCTCTAAATGTTGTATGGTTCCCCGCGTCAACATTTCTAAATCTTCGGAAAGAGTTATCAGCGTTGAACGGATTACAATTCTCTTTTGGTCTTCATTAGTCTGCGTTGTTGCCGTCATATATTATTTGGTAGGCTTTCATCTCCGAGAAGATACGTTAATGTGGATGATAAACTATTTTACATCGGCTCGTCACCGTCCATGGATACTTTTATTGTGGGGGGGAGCAGTTCCATTGTCAGTTATATGTGTAGAGAGATTTACTGGTGGCCTGCGCAAAACAGCGAGGCGGAAATTGTTTCATTTCATCGCCGTTGTTCTCTTCACCCCTGTGGCTCTTGTGGATCCACCATTTCTGTCACTTTCACTCTCCATCGCCTCCTCAATTGCCATACTTGTGGAGCTGTCCCGTTTTTATGGGGTCTACGGTTCATCCACCTTAAATGCGTTTATGCTGGAGCACATAGACGGTCGTGATTCAATCAGGGGCGCGGTGCGCACGCATATTTATCTCATTTATGGACTGGGCCTCTCCATGATGCTGCGTTTCCGTTACGAGCGACCAGAACCGGTATTGGAGTTTTCAAGTTGGATGGAGCTTGCAATTCATATTATTCCGGGTCTTGTTTCTCTGGGCATTGTGGACGCGTGTGCCGGCATCGTGGGAAGCACCTTCCTCCTTTCGTATCGTCGGGCTTTGGGACGGTATCTAAATAACAGCTTCTTTACCGAGCGGGCAAATTCGTCTATAACACACAAGACGACGACAGGGACATTCGGAGGTTTATTATGTGGCGTTCTATTTTGGTTGTTCATATTGTTGGTGGCGGGGAACATAAGGGAGGCGGATGCGGGGCACAGTTTTATTCTCATACTTGTTTGTAGCCTCACGGAATGTTTTATGGACGGCATAGACAACCTACAGCTCCCTTTAGTGGTGGACGGGGCCGTCCATACATTACTTGCGTTTCTCGTGCACAAAAAGAAGGCGAAATGATATTTTAAGGGACGAAAAGAAGGAATGGAAACAAAGGCAGGCAAAAAAAAAAAAAAAAACATGAAGGGAATTTTGTTCCGCAGGCGGAATACCTCAAACGGCCTAAAAAAAATTTTTTTTTCCTGTTGCTGCGATTTCTGTATGTTGTTTGTTTGTTTTTGTTTTGTTTTCTCTTTTGTTGTGGCTTCGTTTGTAGATGAGCCTTTTTCTGCACATACCTGCGTACTACCGTCAAGGTATATGTATAGTGCTCTTCCTTTTTATTTATTTTCTCCTCCTTTGGAAAAAAAAAAAAAAAAAAGAGGCATGGAAGGGAGTATGGTAGAGAAGGTAACTTTACATATCGGTGGATAGAGAATGAAGATGGTGTGGATCCGCTATGTGATTGTTTCTTTTCTGGCATGATGAGCACACACACACAGACACACACACCAAAAAGAAAAGCACTTTTTCTTTTGAAAGCAACGGAAATTGGTTGTTTTATATTCCCCGTCTCCTTTCGGCTGGAAATTGGCGAATTCTCTGTAAATGGGCGGCTGTGTTAATGCAGCGTCACAGCGCACTGTCCGTCTGGCATAGATGATTTGTTCACTTCTCCACCCCAATTTTGTCTTTTTTGTCTCATCTTTTTTTGTCCGTGTGTTTTCGGTCTTTACGTGTTTTGCTTTGGCCTTTTTTTGTTTGTTTGTTTGTCTTTGTTTTTTGTTTTGGATTATAATTGTTATTTTTTTTCTCGCTCTTTTTTTCTTTTTTTTCTTTGCGTCCCCACTTTTCCCTTCAGTCTCTTTATTGGTCTTCTTGTGTGTTATCATTGTCGATCCGAGTCTTGCTTTATTGACTTTAACGACTTTTCACAGGGAGAGGGGAAGAGAGAGTGTGTGTGTGTGTGCCTCAATGGATGGGCGCGGCAACAACTTTGCCGAAAGGGACGACGGCAGCGTGAAGGCCACAATTGCACCGCGCAGCAGTGGAATGAAACAAAGAATGGGGCAAGACGCGAAGGAAACTCATGGAAAGGTGTTGCCCGTACTTCCGTCCATCCCTGCGGCTACGCAAGCTTCGCAAAAAGGACGTCCACAAAAATACTCAGAGGCTGAAAGAAATCCGTTGGCGCTTTTGTCCTCAGAGAGCCGGGCTACAGCGGCCCGCAACACCCTGCAGGAACACTGGCGAAGTGCGTTGCTGGAGTACGAGGTTGCGCTGAGGGAATTGGTGACGAACAGCATTAATGAGCCCCCCTCGGATGTGCGTCTAACGAAGACGTTACAGGTGTATGATGCGGTGGCACGTGTTGTCGCGGATCAATCTCCCGAGTTGGCAGACATAATGAAAATGTTTCGTGTTGAGTTTTGTCGTGCCACCTTTAGCAACAGGAGTCTCAGTGATTTAATACCGTTTCAGGACACCGACGGTGTGGAAGAGGAAGTGGATGATCTTGGAAGGGCGTACTTTGATCAGGTAAGCGTGTTGCTTCGTGAAAATGCGGCACTTCGCGTGGAGGTGACTCTTGGCAACACGCGGGATAATTTGGCTCAAATGAAGCAGAAGATTGAGCACCTGGTGGAGATGAACTCCCACTACGAGAATGAACTCAATCGGTTGGTGCGGGAAAATGAACTTTTGGCCGAGAACTACCGCAAGGCTCGGGAAGAACTCCGTAAAGAAAAAGAAAGGAATCAGATCATGATAGACACCTTTGACGATGAAAAAGAGAGAATTTTACAGGAGAACAAAGACATGCAGCTGCGTCTGTGTCGGCTACGAAAATACCTCGGTGATCGAGAGTCTACGGTAGTCAAGGATGCCTACAAACAGTTAAAAGAAAAGAAAATGGAAGTCATGACACAGCTATTTGACGAGGGGGACGAGCGTGTCTCTATTCTGGTGATGCTGAGCCAGTTGGAAAGTCGTGTGAACGAGGAACTAGATAATTACGACAGGGAATCGTTGCTGTGTGAAGAATCGGAGCTGGCGGAGCGTCAGCAGCGAATGTTGAGTAGCGTCTCTGTATTGTTGGAAGAAATGCACCTGTCTGAGGTGCGCTACCTGCGTCTGGTGCCAAATACGCATTTGTTGGTTGGAGAGGAGCAGGACGAGACGGATGGTTACGTCTCACTTTTGTCTGATAAAGGGCTCTACGAGGCGCTTGTGGCGAGAGCCGAGGCGCGTGAAAGGACACTCGCGGTAACAGAGTCGGATGCAGGGGAGTCAAAGGACATTATGGCAGCAATGGTGGCAAACACTAGCATGGATTTTTTGCGTAGCGTGAGTGGCACAGTTGTGGATGACACAAGCTTCCAAATGTCTTTGCGAGAATCGAGGGATCCTACGCCGTATAAGATGGGCTCACCGGATGGAATGTCTCTTCCGCGGCCAGATTCGGAAGATGCGAAACATGAACGAAGGAACGAGGAGGTGACTGAGGACGAGAAAGAGGAACGAGAAGGAGGAAAGGGGAAAGAAAAGGAGGGACGGCGATTTGCGCAGTTGACAGGCGCAACGCCAAAGGAGGCGTGCGTGGAGTCTTTGATGCTTATCAGAAGGAAGCAAGAGGAATGGGTTGCCAATATTTTTGGATCGGCAGTGGAGAAAAAAGACTTCTTGAAACGTGTACTAAACCGCGATTCGTATCAAGGAACAATGACTGAGCAAGAGCAACTCATGCGTTACTTTATCTTGAGGCCAATGCTGGATGTCAGTGACAATAAGTTTCGATGTGGTATAGACATTTTTACAGGTCCTGGTCCACTAACACAGTCATTTCTCTGCACCGTCATGCACGTGGACCCTGTTGAGCCATTGCACGTTCCACAAGGAAGCAATTTTATGCATTTAAAGTACCGAAATCCGCTGCGGATCGAAGCGGTGAGTAAAGATCCTTCAGAAGGGGCTTTAGTTGCACCAAATACGGAAGCCGTTGAGGAGTGGGGCGGAAAAACGCCCTATGTACGTGAGGTGACGGAAGCGGTGGTTCCTGAATTGGCCGTCAGTTCTAATGTCTTTGCTGAATTGAGGCGTCCGAGTGTCTTAAAAGCCGCAGCTTCGGGGGTAAATGTGGCATCCTCCTCAACGCCATCCGCAACAGTATTTCAGCGGCTGAATCCACTTTCACCAAATCGTTCCCCGGAGTGGTTGCTCTACCAGAGCATGTTTGGAGGTTACCGCCCCCTGGCGCCACGCCTCATTGATATCTCATACATTGATCACATTCTTCTGAACTCCTGTGAACGTCACTTTGACCGTTCAGAGGAACGTTACTCGCGATGCTTCAAACAGGCGCGTGGACGAGCAACAAACAGTCAAAAGGCTTTGAATATGGCGGAACGTTTCTTCAAGGATACGTACGCATTGACAGACTTTCAGGAGTCGATTATTCGAGAATTAGAGTCTCGCTATTGCTACCCTGAACTTGTGGCAAAGTCTCTTTATGAGATTTTGTGTTTTCTTGATGCAACAATGGCCTCTCAGCCGTTGGTTGATTTGTATCTCAGTTGCATCAGGGGATTTGAATCGCCGACACGTATTCATTACATCACATATGTACTCCACCAGATAAGTGTGAATTGGCCATCATCGAATCCGGAAGAACCCGTTCTGAAGGAAGATGTCCTTACGTTGCTGGAGTATATTTACAAAAAGGTATCTGGAATAACCAGCATGGAAGCCAGCGAAATTCTTACAGAATATCACATGGCGACGCGCTCAGCCCCCATCACACTAAATTCGCTACGCAGTTATCTGGTGACAGCCATGATGCACTTTGAGGATCCACTTCTGCTCTATTTTAACGGGCTACTCAGCTACAATGCAACTTCCAGCGCTGTTGTGGAAATGAACTACGAGCAGTTCGAATTGGCTCTCAAGAGCAAGTGGGAGGAGAAAATTGAGGGGAAGTTGCTCATCCGCTACCTCGCTGCCTCGTGTGGATTCAACAAGAAGGCGGAGTTAACAACAAAAGAGTTGGCATGTGTCGCGACAAGCATGTGGAGCTCGCAATTGTGGTCAAACATGTAAACCAGCTTTGTGGGTGTGTTGTTTTTAAGTAACCCACAAATACAGTTTGATTTAGGCATGTATTATTATTATTATTGTGGTGGTTGTTGGCTATCTGTGTTTTGGGCCACCGTGAGTTGTCTGTGACAGTGAAAGGAGTCGATGACGATGGCCGCCCAGCCGCTTTTCGTTCATTGACTTTCTTTTTGTTGTTGTTGTTGTTGTTGTTGTTTTTTGGGGGGGGAAGGATATTGTCATTACACAAAAAAATTTCTCTCTTTTTCTTTTCTTCTCCCTCTCTCTAACACGCCACCCTCACAATGATGCTTTTGGGGCAGTAAAGGTGGAGCGATCATTACAATGGATCTCATTTTCTTTTGGTTTTGTCTATTATCATTCCTTTTTATTATTTTGCCTTTCCCACAAGTCAAGCAAACAGAGATCCTTTCGGAGGGAAAATCTATTTTTTTATTTTTTTATTTTTATTTTTTCTCTCACGGCGAAGAATGACTGCCCCCATCCATCGACTGCGGCAACGAACCCTCGAGTCACTTTGGGGACGCGGTGGCACAAAACAACATATGGCGGCTTCCACGGTGAGTCGCGAGGACCGCTACATCAGACTTCCGTGGTCGAGGGAAAATCAATGCACTGGGAAGCCGGCTCAGCTGCGCGGCAACTGGGACGTTATTGTTGCCATTCTCTCGGCGGACACTTCAAAAAATATGGAGAATTTTCGAGTTTTGCTCAAAAGACTTTATTTTTATGGCTCGTCCAGATTTATCTCGTGTCTCCCTTGCTTTGGGACGCTCTGTCTTGTGATTGACTCCATGACCCCGTCGGAACGTGTCGCCTTTTTTCATGTGACGCTGCCGTGGATGAAGCGCCGCGTCATTGACGGTCCGGTGGTTCTTCCGCGTGATTTACACGCCCTTTCACAAGGAGAGAGCAGGCGTTTGATCCTCACAAATGAGGAAGCCGCAACATTATTGACGTGTGGTTTCTTTTCCCTCTTTCCTGGCCGCTGCTCCAATTCCCGCTCCAAGAGTAAGTCTTCCGATAAAACTGCGTCGTTTGATTTTGCTGATTTGTTTTCTCTTGCACCTCCTGGACGTATTGAGAGTCAGGTTGCTAAAATACGATGTCTGCTACAGTACTTTATTTACTGTTCTCATCACGCAGATGCGTTGGGGACTTGTTTAGAGTTTTATCGTGTTAGTTTTTTGTCTTTTCCGGATTTGGGTAAAAGTTTAAATCCGATGCAGAGTGTAACGATGCTTGAAGAAGGACTTATTGAGGACAACTACGGGAGTCTTCAGGTTGATTTTGCCAACAAATATGTAGGCGGTGGCGTTTTAAGAACAGGATGTGTTCAAGAAGAGATTCGATTTATGATGTGTCCAGAGCTTCTTCTCTCATGTCTTTTCACTGAGCCACTCCTGGATAATGAGGTGCTGTTTATGAGCGGTGCTGGGCAGTACAGTGTTTCAGTTGGATACGCCAGTGGTTTTCGTTTCATCTGCGGCCATTCACCACACTTTGCCAAATTGGGTGCGGCTACGTCCACACCACGGGAAATATGGGTGGAATTGGTGCCAACCTCACTGCGCAATGAAAAAGACTGCACTGCCGTCATGCTACGAAACTCTTGTGTAGTTGCTATGGATGCGATCAACTATTGCGGTTGTGAGGAAAAACAGTATCTGGCGTCTTCCATAATTCGCGAAACACGAAAAGCATTTGCCGCATTTAAAGGGACACCTGACAGTATTCTGACATCTGTTCATTCTGGCCCCGTGGCAACGGGCAATTGGGGGTGTGGTGCCTTCTCTGGCGATCGTGAACTAAAAACGATGATTCAGTGGTGCGCGGCATCTGAGGCCAAACGACCACTCATCTACTCCAGTATCAATGACAGCGATTTATGTTATCGCTTTGGGCTTGTCTATAAAAAGCTGCAAGAAGAAGAGTGGACTGTCGGTGATGTATTCACGGCTCTGCTTCTCTTTTCTCAACGGTATACCACCAACCCAACGTCCTTGGAAGAAGGCAGCCTCTTTCAGTACATCCTTTCATTGAAGAACCCCCGGTGTGCTTCTTCGCACTCCGGCACAGAATTCGAGTAGGAAATGACGGGAAGGGTGATGTTACGCACAAGCGGAATTATACACGCACGCAAATACTTGCATTCAAGCGTGGGTATTTCTTTCTTTTTTTTTTTTGTCTGTAAAGGATTATATATATATATATGCCTGTTCTTTCTGGTGCTTTTTCGAATTGGCTTATTGTTGTTGTTGTTGTTGTTTGTTTGTTTGTTTGTTTGTTGGGGTGTTGACGAAACACACACAGGAATAACAAGGTGTGGCGCCATCATGCACGCCGAGGATATTGACCCCGCGACTTTCTCCCTCCGCCCGGAGCATAGGCAAAAATTTCGTCCCAATGATATTCGGCCAATTGTTCGCTCCATCATTGAGTCGCGGCTTGAGAACGAACCGTACAGGGCGGACGAAATTCAAAGTATTAGTAAAGAAATCGCCGATACGGTACGGGATAGAATTCGTACCATGGATCTGGAGCGATACAAAATCATGGTGCACTGCATGATTGGAGAGCAGCGCGGACAAGGGCTGCGTGCGGGGTGCAAAATGTTTTGGGACTCCGACACGGACGATTACTTTGAGGAGGTATACATTAACGAATACCTTTTTGCCGTCGTGACGGTGTTTGGGCTGTACCAGTACTAAGAGGCGAACTCCATTGTGAATTGGATTCTTTTTGCCGTTGCTGAGTGTTGTTTATTCCTCACTCTCTATATGATTACGCCCTGAGGGTGTGCGTCAATAAGCGTCGGGCACGCCGTGAGAGGAGGGGAAAAGATAAAAGGAGGGAATATATAAGTCAAACAAGAGCCTGGATAATGGGGAGGCCGAAAGCGGGGTTAGGGAGAGAAGATGAACATGTACAAAGCACAAATTAACTTCTTTACACACAATTCTGTTGTTGTTTTTATTGTTTTTATTTGATATGTTGTGTTATTTGTGAGCTGTGAGCGGCAATTTAATACCCTTTTCATTCTGCTTTGTTATTTATTGCTGGTCTCATTGGGCTGGATTGAGTGGGAGGAGAAGGGAAAAGCGAGAGTGAGAAGGAGGGTCGATGTTTAGGGCCAGCACCACGTCGCTGGGTGCAGCATCCAAGCGGTCTGTGAGTAATTGGTCTTCCCTCCCGTTTGACCGCCGCGACAAGTCTTTCTGGTTGGCCTTCAATGAGTATCTAGCACCGTCCATGAAGTCCGAATTCCCATTGGCAAGCGATGAGTTTCGTAAGCCCATGCTCTCCGGCCTCACCGTGCCTGGTGAGAGTGCCCTTTTGAATGGCGCCATCATCAAGGCTGCGAACGATCTGCGGGATTACTACGACAACATTTCTTTGTGGAACCCACTTTCTCTGGCATTTCAACTGGGAATTGAGGTCAGTGTGGTGATTGAGCAGCTACTGCTAGCGAAGGAGTATGGCTTGGTTTCCATGCTTTTTGTTGTCTCTTGTCGATCATGTGGATGTGATATGCTGCGTGTGGATGCCGTGCGTGAAATCTGTTTCCGCGCCACGTACCATAAAACAAATATTATTCGCTGTCCAATGTGTACAGACTGCACGGAGGTGACGGATTTGACACATGTGGGAGTTTTCTTTCAGGATTTTTCTCCACCCGAATTCCTTCGGCGAAAGTATCACCGCCTCTTCTACAGTGATGAAGCGATTCGACGTCAATTGGAAGCATATTTTTGTCCGCCAGGGGCCGCGTTTGCATTTCACATGCGTCTTCCCGAGGGTCGATATCTGATTGTAGCATCGGGAATGGGTATTCTTGTAGAGATTCAGGTTGGAACAGGGGCTGAATTCTTGGGGAAAGATTGTCCCTTTCACGCAGTAACCCTTTCATTGGGGAAATTGCTGAACGAAAACAGTGTGGACTCAGAAGGAAATGGAAGGCGACGCCGTGTGATACGTGTCAATCACGGCAAATTGGTCTTTCGTGTGTTTAACGCCACACCATACGGTAGTTATTTGGATTTCTGTGTTGCCTTTGATGAACGTCTGGAGTTCTTGGCACCACAGACTCCCCTTGTGGCGACTGTCCCCATGGTTCTGCACACTGCCTCACGAGGACTGCGATCCCCATTGTTTCATTTTTTTATTCCAAGGCCTCCTGGTACACGCACCTCCGGTGTGTATGTTCTGCATTCCTTTGCGCTCCCCAGTGAGGAATTTGATGAGCCTATCACTGCAGGCACGGAGTCTGTTCTAGCTGTCATCCGTGAGGTACATCGATACTCCTTGGAAGACCATCATGGTCTTTTGATCTCCGTAGGGCACGGCGGCAGTGTATTTGAGTCATCGTTTTTTTCCGTGACGGCAGCTCTGGCTTCGTCGCTCTGCCTTGCGCAGCGCGTCGTGACACGCCTTGGTGAAGAAGTTGCTGCCTCCTTTACATGCACTATCACAAAAGGGACCATGTACATGGCGTCCTTTCAGGGGCAATACGATGATGACGAAAATTTGCGCTCCTCATACCCCGACGTACATGTCGTTGGGCCGGTGGTGTATGCGGCCACACATCCGCCCGTTGTTTTAACAAATGACAGGGATGGCAAGGATTCCGTGCAGCCTGTTGTTCGCTGTGCGCGGATTGAGCTCCGATCAGTCTCAGAAGAGCATATGGGGGTGTGTCTTGAGCCTGCCGCCGCAGATGCGATGTTTCCATTTTTTCTTTCCTACCTTGGGGATCAACTAAAGGCTTTGCAGGTCCTCTCTGAACCACAGGCGCTGGTTCTTTTAGTGCCGCTATCGACGCTAAATGCAACAGTGACGCTGCCCTCGTTGTTAAACCCTGTCATGTACACAAAGGAGTTACGTGGGCCATTTGGTTAACGGTACGGTTCGAAAGAGGAAGATGCATATATATGTGTGTATGTGTTGACGCGTGTGCGTCAGAACGAGAAGGAGGATGTGGGGGAGGGGAACGAGGGTCAAAAAGTGGTCCAACTGCACTTGGCGCACACAAAACAAGAAGACAAAGAACACGGAAGAAAAAAAGAAAAACTGCTGACCTCGTTGGATGTTTCAGCGTCGTCGTTCCATACTCTTTTCATAGACATAGTGATTGATGTAATCTTTATCGCATATGAAGGCGTGGACTTTTTTAATTGTGAGAAGCTCACCGGAGAGATGTCATGAATTTGACTCATCGCTGGCGTTTTTTTTTTTTTGCTGTTCTTCTATTCTCCCCTCCTGGAGTTGCTTCTTATCGCTTCAGGTTGAGACTTTTCTCCGGGTGGGGCCGCCGATAGAAAAAAACCCGCCGTGGACGAAAGTATTTTTTGTTGTTTTTTTCGTTTGTTTGCTTGTCTCTGGGGAATCATTCTCTATTTCTCTTTATTCCGCCCTCTAAGACTCCATACCCATGCACACCGTGTCTGATGTTGTTGTTGTTGTTTTTGCTTCTTTTTTTTTTTTTTGCCTCCTTATGTGACCACGTCATTAATACGTGGTGGGCTGCGGAAGCCTCGAAAAGAGAAGACTTGTGGGGGTTGAGTCCAACAGTATGCGGCGCGTGTTCGACGGCCGTGGTGGCACGAGAGCCATTCCGTCACCGTGGACGATGATGGCAACCAAACCGACAAATTGCACTCAATCTCGTTGGCAATCCTTCTTCGGCGAACACCGAGCAACGGCGCGGCAGTCAAGGCAGGCGTATAGCCATCCACTGGCGCCCAAAGACCCTGCCGCACGCAACATCGTCATTCCCGACGCTGTACACGCCAAGACTCGCTCCCCAATGGCTCTTCCTGCTGAAGTGTTGCAAAAGCGAGCGCAGCGTGCGCTTCTGATGCAGCTGCAACAGAACATTGTTTGGGAGGGCACAGTCATTGATGATGAGCGGCACGAATTGATTCAACACTTTGTTAGGCTTCGTCAGAACCCCAAGTACCGGTCGTCGAAGCAAATGATGATTTTGGGGGGCCGAGAAGTACTACGGGAGCTCTTTGAGGAAGGGCATACGCCGCGGCATCTTCTTATTCGCGGTTCACAGGAGGTTCCTTCATGGGCGAAAAAGAAGGGTGTAGAAACAGAAATTGTGCGTGTCGATCGACACGTCGCGGAGGTCTGCGCCCCTGGCAACGACGGCTACATTGGTGATTTTGACATTCCTCCACCTCCAGCGAAGGAAAATCTTATTGCAAACAAGCAACGATTTGATCGCATTCTCGTGCTTGACAATGTTGACGATCCGGGTTTGTTAGGAACTTTACTGCGTGCTGCCGCTGGATTTCATTACGACGCGATTATCACAACCAATCACTGTGCTGATATTTATGATCATCGTGTGGTGCGATCGGCTCGCGGTGCCCATTTCCAGAAGGCGGTGCCGATATACACTCTTAAGGAAGAAGATGGTGATAACGTGTACGGTATGTTGAATCACATTGTACAGCGAAACAACATGTCTACTGTTTGCTTCACACCTATTGATGATGACACGGAAAAGACGAACACTGGCAAGGCACCAAATGTAGTGTTAAGCAGTTCAGTTGCTCATGCGGGCACCTTTGAAAGGGAGGCACTTTCAGAGTACTGCCATCGTTGCTTTACAACTGAGGGGACGAAGGGTCAGCTTCTCATTGCTGGTCCGAATCATAAACGTAATTCTTTGCGACGGTGGTCGAAAAGAATTACCGGCCCTGTAACACAATTGTTGCTTGATGAAGTAACGCAGACGGATTCTTTGGTTGCCCTTTCAGTTGTTATTCATGCTCTTCGACCGCATGGGAACTGGGATTATCTTCCCACAAGCGAGCCGCATGATAGTAACACTGCCACCCTGGAGCTGCAGACAATGAAGGCAAGGGTTGATATTGGCGCGGATCGGCTGGAATTGCGAGAAACGGACTTGAACCTTGACGAGGAGGAACAGGTGGAGAAGGCCCGATTTAAGAATGAGTGGATGAAGTGGAAGCGGCTGCAGCGGGGAAAAATGGGCGACTATGAACGCTGGATGGAGGCGGAAACGCAACGTGTGAGGGAAATGGCAGCAAATGAAAGGCGCCGGCAAATAATGCCTTGGGTGCGGCTGCGTTGGCGGCACCAGAAGGGGGCAGCGGGGTTGCCGCCTTCCGTGCCAAACATCATTGATGAGTATCGCATGCCACTTGATCGTGATGCCCTTCGGGAGGAAAGAGAGACAAGTACGGGTTATGTGAGGCCGGAGAACTATGACCGGTAGGGGGCTGATGTGGTTTTTGAAACCGACCACCCGTAAAAAAGTTGAAGTTGTTTTGCTGGTGATTAATTTTTGTTGTTTTTGTTGTTGTTGTTTCTTCTGCTGCCGTCAGGCACGCACAGAGCCACTTTTCACTGCGCCCCCTTCCCATGTGAATGCTTATTGTCAAAAGTTAAGGCGTATTTTATCCAAATGCCATTTGGACTCATTGCCCTCTTCCCTTGCCTTATTAGAAGGGGTAGGGATGACGCTGTACTCTATCTACATTTTTAACCGCTACGGAGACAATATCTTCTACATGCAATGGAACCGTACGAGTGCGGTACAGGAAGGAGAGGCAAGCCTTGTCGCGGGGTTCATTTACACACTGCAGCACCTGTCCTTACAACTCTCCTCTACAGGCACATCTGGGCTGAGGGCAGTGCAAACGCCATTTTATAAGCTTCATTACGCCGAAACGATGACTGGATATCGGGTTGCGCTCCTTACTTGCAGAAATGTGAGCACGGCGCTGGTGCAAGGCATATTTATTGAGATGTTTCGTGATGTTTTTCATAAAACTTTGACGAGGGATCTAAATTATCGCCACAAACCTGGGTGCATGATCACCAACCCGGATTTTGCGGAGGGGCTAGAAGCTCTTTTTCGCTCGAAGCAGTTGCTTGAATAAGGCATTACAGTTCATTTTATTGTCCTTATCCTTTCCCCCTTATTGTCTTTCTCCCAATCAAACCCACAAACATGCCAAAAAGGCATTCATTACACGTGTTTATGTGTGTATGCGAAGCAAGAACTTTGAATGCTAGTTTAAACGTTAAAATGCAATCATTTTTTTTTTTATTCTTTCTTTTTGTTGCGTTTTAGGTGGTAGAAAAGCGAGTGTGGAATAAAATATTGAGATTTGTTTTTCTTATTGGAATTGATCTGTTTGTTTTTAGCTTCCTGTTGCTTGGCGAAGTGAGGGGTTTTTCTCCGCGTCTATTTGCTGTGCAGTTCTGGGCTGGTGAGATCGACCCTGCGAAGATGGACGACGGCACGGGTCACCTCATACGCCCCTTTTCCGTCATTGGTATGGGTGCATATGGCACAGTCTTCAAGGCATTTAGGCTGCCGAAGGAGTACGGAGACGAGGAGGAGATGTGGCGCAGCCATGCACAGGCCGTCGCGGTGAAGGAGACAGTCTTCACAGAGGTGGCAGACGACATTACAGTTGTGCTGAAGGAAGTGTCGTACCTCAGTAATCTTCAACACCCGAACATTGTCTCGTATTTTACCGCATTTACAAACTCTGGTGTGACTCCTGTGGCACCGTCACCGGCATCAACAAATTCTAAAGGGAATGAAGGAATGAAGGCGTCCCCAAGCTTTTCCGCGGCGCCCTCCTTATGTATAGTGGAGGAGCTTGTAGAGGGAGCGTCTGTTGCGAAGGTGCTCAAGATGACTGCGGAGGGACAACTTTCAAATGTAATGTCGGAGGTGGATATTGCTGCTGTACTGTACGATGTTCTTCAAGCACTGCTTTACATCCATGAGGAATGCCGTTTGGTTCATCGCGACATTAAACCACTGAATATGCTTATGGATTGTAAGACCGCTTCTGTGAAGTTATGTGACTTTGGAACCTGTGCCGATGTGAGCCAACAAGCCGGACGCTACACTGTCATTGGTACCATTGGCTGGATCGCACCCGAAGTTCTTGACAGCGGTATGATGGACTGTCGCTCTGGGCACGTGACGTCCCACAGCTTCCCATCGGATGTGTGGTCGCTTGGCGTCTCCGCGCTTGAAATGGCACTGCCGAACATTCGAAAAACGGCCTTGTCTGAATATATCAAGGATGTCAGTGCCTCATCGTGCTCGGCTCAGCGAACGTTGGAGTCCTCACGCAAGAGTGTTCTGCCCATGAAAATCTCTTCGGAGCGTCTACGTGACTTCATCGCCTGCTGCCTTCGGAAGGATCCGCTGGTACGATCAACGGTTCGCCAGTTATTAGCACACCCGCTCATTGTGGGAAGCGGGGTGGCCAGCGCGCAAAAAAGACAGAAGAGAATAGGAGCCATCCTTGACGCGGTGAAAGCAGCCAACAAGTCAAATCAAGAATTGAATGAAAAAATGAACGACGACGCTATTGTTTTGCCCCAATACGCCCACTCAACGCTTAAGAAAAATCGATGCATGGAAGCCATAGCAGCGATTAAAAGGGAATTTTTTGCCGCCCAGGCACCTCTTTCAGAGAAGTCTCGCGTCTCACACTACGCATGGTGCTTGCCAGAGCACATTGCCCGTATGTCATCGTCAGACGAATACCGCTACATGCCAACTCCCTTGAGACAGCAAGGGCTTGGTCAAGTGCCTTCCGTTCACAACCCACAGGGAAATGCACGAAGCACGGCGCCACTCAAGCCTATCTTTGACTCTGTTGTTCTACCAGCCACAGTAGATTCACAACGTGTGGTGCTAAGTCTCATACGTAAGTATCGCAAGCTTGCCGGGGCAAACACGGCGGATGGATGGACAGAAGTTGATAGGCGGAACGAGGCATGCTACGCATTAGACGAGTTGGCCTGCCAGAACTTAAAGCATGAGAGATTTATTCGGTTGCACGATGATCTGCTACGCACTTTTAAGGCCACGTGTATGGCGATTCCCGACTTTGCAGCGAGTTTTCTTTCTAACTTTACGCAGTCCTTAACGGTTTCGGATGACGATACGCAGAACCTACGACAGTTCATTGCCTACATTTTCCAGCTGCAGAAGGAAAATCTCATGCACACCCATCGTACTCAATTGGAGACACCGGACTTTAAGGCGACGGCATTCAAGAGCTCTGCAGACGCTTTTGCCCGAAGTTTGCAGCCGATGAACTTTGTGTCCGCAGAGGATTTACTGCGATTTCCGCATATGCCGCAGTCAGCGGGATTCATGAATGCGAGTAATCTTGGAGATGACGCAGCTACTGGTACAATGCGGCAACAACAACCCCTAGTCAATCCTTCGGCGTATTTGTTTAACACCTGGCTGAGGCGAAAGCGGGCCGATATATTAGGTCCCTCATGATGTCTGTTAAAACTTTAACAGGAAAGTGTGCGATGTGTGTTTTTTTTGTTGCTCTGCCATGGCACCTGTGTTGAACGGCAACGTTTTCTTGGTGTGGGTGTCTCCGCTGCTCCTCGGTTTTTTTTTGTTTTTGTTTTTGTTGTTTTTTGCATTTTCTACTGTTTTTTGTGTCTTCATATGAAAAGTGTTTGTTCCACGCTTGCATTTTACCCACCATCTTCATATCTGATTTTTTTTTCCCCTCTTTATTTTTTTTTTTTGTGTGTGTGTGCGAATGAACCATGTATTTTTCCGTTCCTCCTCAAGAGGGAGTGGGTGAGACGTGGGGCCGCCGCCGCCGCGGTGAGAATCATGACGAAATTGGTGCGCAAACTCAAGCAGATGGCCAAGAAGCGGGCCCATCGCAAAACCGTGCTGAAGCGAAAGGTGGAGCGGGCACAAAGGGATATTGAGGAGAGTGAGAGGCTAAAGAAGGAGCGGCTGGAGCTTGAGACCGACCTTGAGATGCACCGCCTCAATTATGGCGAGGAGGATGCCGAAATGAAGAAGCGGCTTGTGCGGTTGGTGGGAAATCTTGTTCTGGAGGCCCCGCAACGGAAATCAAAGAAGCAGGGTAGTCGCAAGCAGATGAGGCGAAAGGATAAGCAGAAGGAACGTGGCCAGGCTGTCGTGGCTCAGCTGGAGAAGAAGTGGAATACGAAGAAGCGACGAGTGAAGCAGAGGGCTCAGATACGCAACGAAGATCTTCATAATTAACTGTGGTGGGGCTCTGTTGAAAGCACACATGAATGAGTGAAAACCAGCTTCTTCCATTGTATTCTTTATGCTCTCTTTATCGATCTTTCTCCTTGAAAAAAAAAAAAAAGAGGGATGATATTTCTTTTTTTGAATTTGTTTGCATTTCCCTTCTTCTTTCTCTTTTTTTTTTTTTTTTGTGTGTGTGTGTGTTTGCCCTCCTCAGACCGTGATACCGGGGATGGATCTACCGCTGGACATCGACCAACTTACTGCCCCGCCGCAGCTGGACGAGCCACCACTGTCGCCATTAGCGGCGGCCAACTCTCCTGCCGTCCCACGCTTTTCGCCCATTCCACCACCATCGTCGGCAGCGCATGCAGACAAGGTTCAATCTCCGACTGAAGAAGGGGATGGGTACCAGTTCCCCGCGCTGGATGAAAATGATGAGCACCTGGCGATTGAGGACCTGTTTGGTGACTTGTTTGAAGTGGGGGATCATCGACCGGTAGACCCCGCGTTGGTTGACACGCGCAGGATGCTCTTGCGCTTTTTTGGTGACTATGTTCGTGAGGAAGACGTTGATTTTGAAGATGAAAAGCATGTAAAACTAGCCAAGGAAATGGCTGATAACAAGGCTGCAGCTCGTTTTGCCGCAGCGGAGAAATGTTTTGGTGAGGCAGGTGCAGCTGCTCTGGAGGATCAACGTGTTGAACCATTTGGGTGTTTACAGTCATCTCTTCCAGACGCACCGGATCTCGGCCCACGCGACGAATTGTGGCTAACAGACATGCCAAAAATTGCTCCAAACCGTCAAACACTCCACATGGAACCGCAACCGTTTATCCCTTCACAATGCATGCCGCTCAACAGCACCGAACGCATGCTGTTTACAACACAGAATGTGGTCCGATGGGCATATCATAAGGGAACGAACACCTTTATGAGCAATGCCCGCATCGTCCGTTGGAGTGACGGTAGTGTAACCCTGCATGTGGGTAGTGATTTGTTCACCCTGCAAACTTCCAAGGAAAACACCGTCACAATGCTCGCACGCCCGGTTGTCGTGCAAAAGGGCGCGGTTGGGGTTCCCGCAATGGTATCGGCAGTTAACCCCGCCAAGCACCTCGTGGTGGAAGGCGCCACTGCGGCATCGGTTGAAGAAGCCGTAATTGCTGAGAGCGCGCGATTTCGATCTGTTTCCAAACAGCACAACCTTGCGTACAGTACACCGACTCTACCTAATATTAATTGGAAGAAGATGACCAAGGCACGCACCCCCATTGAAGAATATGTTATGAAAGAATATGACCGCCGGCAGAAGATGATTGAACAACGCAAGAAAGAGGGACGACCCATGACGTTGACGGAGCAGATGGAAATGGAAGACGAACTTCTCCAGAAACTGAAGACGATTAGCGCAGAGGAACTTCTGGAACAACAACAAGAACAGCAAAGGGAAGCTGTTCTACGTTCTACGGTTCGCCCGCAACCACTTAGTCGAGGTCGTTTTAACCGTAATACAAACCTCGAGGGTGGAGTAGATATGGCTGTCGCTAACGACGCGAGCGATGGTATATGGAAAGGATATGAGGAGCAGGAAGATGGGGATGATGACACATATGAGACGACTTTGGAGATAATGCGGACCAAACGTCAGAGGGAGAATGATGCCGACAACGCCGAGCGCCTGCGCCGCATTCACCAGCGAGAAAATGAGCAGGTAACGCGGTACAAACCCCTCATGGAGGCTTTGCGAGGTCTTGTCCCATGCCTCCCCTCGGGATCCAATGCACTTGGTGCTGTGCAAGGAACGTTGGATTTTTTGGAAACAGGTGCCTTCTCCGCCGGTGTTGTTGAGAAGGAGGTGCCGCTGATGATGGAGGAGGTTGCTGATGAGTGCCCCGATATAGACCTTAGCGCCGTGCGGAATGAACTCCAGAAATTGTTCCCGTGAGTGTGTCTATTTGTGTGTGTGTGTGTGTGGTAGGTTTGTGTCCAGCAATTGCAACAAAGAGCCTGGGAAAAAAACAGGAAGGCGAAGAGAAGAGGGGGAGAAAAGAGGTAAAAAAGGACGGGAGCAGCAAATAAAAAAAAAAAAAGATGTGAGGTTGTAGGAATGATTGCACTCACTCCCTTCCATGCCGCTTTGCAGCAGCAACTAAGAAGGGAGAAAAAAAATATATGCGATGGAAAAAGGTTGCGAAGAGGGATGTGAAGCTTTGCTGCGTGTTGCATTACTGACGCAAAATGCGGGCATGTTCATCTCCTCTCATTTGCAATTTTTTCTTCCTTTCTTTTTGCTTTGTCGTGATTTTTTTTTTTTTTTGAAAGGAGGGCTTTTTTCTTCTCGGTAGACTCCGACGGGCGTGTACGCAGACATATACGTGAGTAATTCGATAAGAAGTAGTGTACTTTGGAAGTCATGTGTAATGTTGAAGGACTTCCGCTCCGGCAGGGGAAGCCGCGGCCACTGCCATCAACCGACCCCTTGCCCATATATCTCGACTACAATGCCACCACACCGTTGTGTGACGAGGCGTGGGAAGCGATGGTAAGCGTGCGTAGTTCGTGGGGTAACCCGAGTTCATCCCACCCGTATGGTTTGGCGGCAAAGTTTGCCCTGGAGGAGGCACGGCGAAAGATCTCGGATGCCATACATGCCGAGACGCCTGAGTCCATTGTTTTTACGTCAGGGGGAACAGAAGCAAACAATCTTGCCATTATTGGCGGGACGTCGGCTGTCCACGAACGAGACCCAACCCGCTTTCGTGTCATTGCAACTACCGTGGAGCACCCTGCTGTGGAGGAGGTGGTAAAATTCTTGCAACTTTCAAATCCGCTTCAAAAAGAGGAAAGTGGACTGGTGACACATCGGTTCCCTGTGGATGTGACTACCGGGTGTGTCAATCCCGATCAGTGGCGTCAACTACTTCTTCAGTTACCGGGGGGTCCTAGAAGTGTAGCACTCGTTTCCGTGATGCATGCAAACAACGAAATTGGTTCAGTCAATCCCATCCGTGAGCTCGTGCAGCTGGTAAAAGAGTTGTGTGGTGCGGAAGTTCTTTTTCACACAGATGCAGCACAGTCCATCGGAAAGGTGCCGGTAGACGTAAGTTCACTGCGGGTGGATTTTTTGTCCATTTGTTCCCACAAGTTTTATGGCCCCAAGGGAGTGGGTGCTCTGTATGTAAGGGAAGGAGTTCCTTTGCAGAATATTCTTTTTGGTGCGGGTCATGAACGTGGTATTCGGCCAGGCACAGAAAATGTGATGCAGGTCACTGGGATGGCAGTGGCACTTCACATTGCATGCAACAATTTATCTGAAAATGCAAACAGAATGCAAGCAACACGCGATGAGTTACTACGTGTCATTGAAGAGGAGTTGGTGAAAGTTGGAATGAGATACGTGGCGAACAGTGATATCCGGTATAGTCTACCGAATACACTTAATATCGCCCTGTACAAGGAGGATCGTGCTGGGCATCCCCGATACATATCGGCTCAGAGACTAATTTATTCGGTAGGTAACCAAGTCTGTATGTCGGCCGGATCCGCATGCCATTCTTCAGCTCAAGAAGTTGAGGTCTCTACCCCTCTGAAAAGTGTCGGTGTGGATCTGCCACGTGCCATTGGAACGCTCCGCCTTTCGACAGGGCGAGGAACAAGCGTTGAGGAAGTTCGACGAGCAGCACGCATAATTGTGAGGCACGCTGCACAACAATTTGGCGATGTCTAATGTTGTCTCTATTTGAGAAGAGGGGTCGTGCTGCAGAATGATGCCCAAATGCATACGGTCATCACGGAGGAATGGAAGGGGAGATGAATTTTTAAAAAATAAAAAAATAAAAGTTTTATCCTTCAACGGATGATACTTTGATTCCCGTGCCGTGATGTCTAATAAATAAGTAAATATATGTTTTACACGCTTATGTCTATTGTCTCCATATTTATTTATTTATTTATTTATTCCTTCTTCTGCCTGTGAATTTTTTTTGTAGCTTTTCCATGCGGGGACATGAGTGTTGGCGGAGCCCCGTCAGACGGCGTTGGGGTTGTTTGGTGTGCCACCCAGCACCTCTCAGCAGGCACTGGATTTCCCTTCCTGCTGCAGGTGGAGGACGCCCAGGTGTGCATTGACTACCCTGCAAAGCATCACCGCTGTTGTTGGACGCGCGCCATGCTGCAGCCAGTGTGGGAGAACTTTAGCGCCAGCCCCGTGGGAAGAAATGATTTGAAGAAAGAAGAGAGTCTTTCCCAAGAACAATACACACAAAGGGATGCTTTTTCCTCTTCCTTTTTCTCACTTAGAACACGTCGAACTCTTGCGGAACTGTCGCAGTCTATTCAATTGCTATTTAAACGACAGCAACAAAAGCGACCACCATGTAGAAATGTGAATCGGTTGCGCTACATTCATCTTTTGCCTTCTGTTGTGCGCGTCGGAAGGGGCATTACGGGGAAGTTGTCTCTGACGTTTTCCCTTCGACGCTGCGGGGACACAAAAGAAGCGAAGGTGTCGTTATTTCCAACTTTTATTGCTGTTGAAGTATTTGGTTTCATGACTTCTTTTGTAACGATAACCTTGTGTGAAGCTCGGCAACGTTCATCCCGTAAGACGGCACTTTTGTTGCTGCAGAGTATAAGTCATGAGGGAAATGTGGCAAATTACAGTGTCTTTAACGCGGATCTGCACCTCGATTCCCCTCAGTCATTCTCGTCGTTGCCCTTGCCATGTGAATTAACGTGGTCATTTAGGGTATATGCTGCCTGTTACAGTTCCATGGAAACACAAATTCGCCTTGAAGAACCCTTCATGCACCTCCGCGAGTGGAAGTCTAGGACGACGCAAGAGGAACGTTTTGCCATTGTAAACCCAAGCATGGACCCAGAAATTACTTTCTCCATAGAGAAGCGAAATCGTGCAAATATGGAGCGTCGCATCCATGCTGCAATAGCTCAAATGGATAGTCCTGGGGAAATGGAAAGTTTGAATTCTCCATCGACTTCGTCCTCTTCATTGGTAAGAGCCACACTGTGTCACATCGCGACCGTGGAAACCTCTCGCGGCATCATGATGGAGCCATGCGTGCAGCCGGGGAATGGTACACTTGCGGCGGTGATGCCGAGAGACATTTCATGGCCGCTTCACCTCTTTGTTGCCGACGCGAGTGGCAAAACGTGGCGATCTCCTCCCATCGCCGGCTCTTCATCTTTGGGAAGGCTTGCCTGCGAGATGAATTATCTGGAGGGGCGGAGGAGTGCCGAGGATGGCAACGAGAATCCGGAGCTGAAAATAAAAGGGGAGTGATTCATTATTTTCAAGCAATTTGTTTTCTTTTCAGTGTGTGTGTGTGTGCCCCCATTGACCCATTTTTGTGTTTGTTGTTTCGTGACGTCGTGCTGGATACCTCACTCCCTCCCGTTGCGGCTGCGGGCATAGTGGGGTAGCTTATCCCCCATTTGTTCTGCTTTGTTCTCGACACACGTACGCGCCCGAACCGTCCCTCTCTCTTCCTGTTGTGCGAAGCAAAGTTGTAGGGCCAACGACGCGTGGGGCGGGTCGTTAGGGGTGAGAAGTGCCCGTCAGGCAGGGAGAGAAATAATAGAGGAAAAAGATTTTTTGCTCCTGCTACGGGAAGCACACAAAACATAGTTGGCAGTAGCAATCATAGGTACGAAAAATAATAGAAAATGATGACGCATGAAAATCATTCGTTTTACTTTAGGTTGGCGGCATTATCAATGGTGCTGGTGAGTGAATCGATTTCTTCGACGCTAATTTTGCCTTTTGTCGGATTATTTGTTGCCCGCCTGCGGAACGTCACCCCCGATGAAGCCGGCTTCCTCTCTGGAATTCTTGTGTCAGTGTTTCAACTAGGGCAAATCATCACGGGCAAGACCTGGGGAAGAATGAGCGATCGGTTTGGGCGTAAGCCCATGATCCAATTGGGTCTTTTCTTCAACGCCGTTATTGCCATTTTTTTTGGAGTTAGTCCAAGCATTGAATTCTGCATCTTGATGCGCTTCCTTCACGGGTGTGCCAATGGCAATGTCCTTGTTGCCAAGACGGTCATTGCGGATATAACGGATCGGACGACCGAAAGTCTGGGGTTTTCTGCCATCACTCTCTTCTGGGGAGTGGGCTCTATCGTGGGGCCTACATTGGGCGGGCTTTTGTATGACCCAGTGAAGAATCCAAAGTTGAGTCATTTTCTCTTGACAGAAGATCCGGCATTAAACTTCTTTGTTGTTCATCCTGCGGTACTTTCCATGTTGGTGACTGCTGCCTTTTCACTCTTGGCGTTAATGAGCACATGTCTATTTCTTCCTGAAACGAGCAAGAATACAGTGGATCCATTGCTATCTCTCTGTTTTAGTCGTCGCAATACCAGCGCAGTGGTTGTGGAGGAAAGCATTGAAGAAAAAAGCACGCAAGAGATGGAGATCTCTGCATATCCTGGCATTTCTGAGGAAACGGATGGGCCCTCCGGTAGGGAAGATGTCCAACAGGGGAATCGGGGTTGTGGCGAGGCATTGTTTGTAGAGGAGGGTTCATCGTATCGAGCTATTCCTGTGGAGGGTGCGTCCAAGGTGACAAGGATGCGCCAAAGAAAATTGGGGTTGACATTAGAGGGTAAGAGCAATTGTGAAAATAAGTCACAGTCTAGTTTTGGCTACCGCGAAGCTCTAAAGTCATCAAACACGCAAAAAGTGTTGATCATGTACATGTGCATTGCCTCGACAGAGTTTGCCCTTTTGGAAGTTATCCCACTTTGGTCGATCGCCTCAGTTGAAAAGGGTGGTCTTGGCCTTTGTTCAGCCGATGTGGGTTGGTTAATGGGTGCGACCTCGGTCGTGTGTGTCCTTGCAAATATCAATTTTACTTCTTTATTGCGATGCGTGCAAAACCACCGAGTTATTTGGGATACCAGCGTCATACTGTGGGCATTGGTCTCCGTGGCTACACCGTGTGCTATTTTTTTCCCCCGGCAATGGGTATTTACATGTGTTGCCGTTTTGAACGCCATCAGAGAGGTTGCACTGTCATGGAATTTTGCTTTAGTATATATCTTTATCGCTCGATCCTCGCCAGAGGAGCATTTGGGATCAATGAATGGAATTGCCCAGTCCCTTGGCTCCTTATCGCGTTTGCTGACTATGCTGGTGCTTCCTCCATTATTTGCATGGTCTCTTCAAGGCGCTCAATCTTTTCCTTTTAATCACCATTTTGTTTTTTGGCTGACCACATTGCCACTTCTGGTGAGCTATGTTCTTTCGACGTACCTTGCACCAGTTGTATTGAGTGGTTAGCTGCGTAATAGAGTTGGAGGTGAACGCGGTTTTTAGTTCTGTTGTCATACGAGCGGCATTTCATGGAAGTGCAATTCTTGTGATGTATTTATTATTATTATTTCTCTCTCTCTCTTCTTTTTCTTTTACTAAGGAGTTTGTGGGGAAGTTGGAGGACGATAAAGAGCCCGTTAAACAATTACTTAAGGTGGATATTATTTTATTGTGTGTGTGTGTGTGTGTGTGTGTGTGGTTAGTTGTTTATTGGTGATTTTTCAGTGGGTTATGAATTGTACGTGCTGGATCCCTAAGAAAGCGATAATCTGATATATTGTTATTATTATTATTATTCCTTTGTTTTGTTTTTTATTTTCTATACAAATATAAATATAAAAAAAAAAATTTTTTTTTTGACTTATTCCATTTTTCTACCTCTATCAATAAAACGAGTCCCACTGCCCTCCAGGAGGGGGGAAAGCCCGATTATCGTAGCAGCTGATTTGTAAACTAAGTGGCCTAATGAGAGTGTGTATGCGTGTTGGATAATTCCTGTCCAAAAGTGCCCGGGAACTGTTGGGGAGGGCGCATTGGACCAGATTTTGTTCGCCCCTCGTTGTAGTCTTGTCTCTTGTGGGAAGAAATGACAAGGCCCCATCCGGACGCAAATATGTTTTCTTGTTTTTGTGTTTTTTGTTTGTTTTTTTTTTTCTTATTGAAGGGATAAAGTGCCAGTCGCACACACACACACAGAGAGAGAGAGAGAGAGACAGTGAGAAAAAGTGAGAGCGAAGGGGGAGCTGCCTCTGCTTATTTCTTATCAAAAAGGGTATCGAGAGGAGTTTATTGCGTGTGTCTTCTGGACACAGAAAAACAGTCGTAACGAAAAGAAAGTGGAAGTGTTGTGGTGTGTGAACTGTCGAGTTATTTTTATGCTGCAAAACGCAGCAAACCTAATTGTAAAACTTTGCATATCTTCGTAAATATATTTTGAGGATGTTCCCTGCGGCAAAACACGTAGAGACTCCTCTCCCTTTAAAGCAGATGTTTGCCCTCGCAGTGGTGTTACTCAACGAAAGTTTTAGCTCCACCATGCTCCTCCCATATGTGGGGCTACTCATCGCCCATCTTAGGAACCGACCAGCCGAAGAATCGGGTTACCTCTCTGGGCTAATGATTGGTGTATTTATGTTTGGGCAGGTTGTGAGCGGGAAGTATTGGGGGTACCTGAGTGACAAGTACGGTCGTCGCACACCTCTTCTTGTTGGTCTTCTGAGCAGTGGCTTTATGATGCTTGGGTTTGGTCTTGGGAAAACAGTATGGATGTGTATTCTGTTCCGCTTCTTGCATGGTCTTTTTAATGGCAACGTTCTTGTGGCTAAGACAGTGCTTGCTGATATTTTGGACGAAACAAATCAGGCGAAGGGATTTACTTTGGTCAGCCTGACGTACGGCTTTGGAACTCTCATTGGCCCCGCGGTGGGTGGCGTCCTCTACGACCCAGCAAACAGTAATATGATGCAATGGGCCGGATTTAGCAAAGAAGGCATCTTTTCTCGCTTTCCGGGCTTACTTCCAGCAGTTGTGCTTTGTCTTTACATTAACCTGGGCGTGTTTGTGTGCATTGTGTTTCTGAAGGAATCCAACCCGAAAGCCCAACCACTGCCACGGTGGTTAGCTGTTTTGATTCCGTGCTTTCGGGAAGCAAAGGAACCCGAATTAACTTCGAGTGACACCACGGATGTTGTTTTTGAGAAGATGGCGGATCTCAACGACTTCCAGGAGGACAATAAGAGCACGAAGAAGACCGAAGAGCCGATGGTAATGAAAAGATCATTTCATGGGGATATGCGTCTGGGTTTGGAGCGAACAGAACTCGGAGAAAGAGGTTATAAACTGTCCATTATGGATGATATGGAGGAGTTGGAAATGGATTTCGAGGAGGACGGGGGAAAAATGCAAGAAGAAGAAGATCATGATGCTGTGAGGGATCCCGAGGGTGTGGAGCCATTTGGATACAAGGAGGCTTTTCTACTCCCCATTACAAGAAATGTTTTGGTTCTTTACATGCTCCTTTCCGCCGCTGATATGGCATACGGGGAAACATTCCCATTATGGGCCATTGCCAACAATTCCGTTGGCGGACTTGAGTACAGCTCTGGTATTGTGGGTTTGTTTCTCTTGTCAAACAGTTTGCCATGTGTTGGGGCAAACCTTCTTTTTCACATTGCTTGTCGTGTAGCCGAAGATAAAATGGTTCTTTGGCAAATATCAATGTACGCCATGGCTTTTGGTGTGGGTTTGGTTCCCTTTGCCGCCTATATTCCACCTGTTGGACAATTCATCATGATATTTATATGTGGCTTTTTGCGGCAGTGGTTTGCTGCCTGGGCGTATGGCCTGATCACGCTTTTTACCGCCCGTGTTGCTCCCCCTGCTTGTCTGGGGACTATGTATGGCATTAGCCAATCATGTGGCGCAGCGATGCGGTGTGTTATTCCAATTGTGGCTACGCCAATATTTGCGTGGTCCATATCCGGAGGTCACTCTCCACCGTTTAATCACATGTTTGTGTTTCTCATAGCAGCAACCGTATTTGTTGTTGCGGCCGTTATTTCATTTGGCTTCAACATGGTGATACATTTTGCCAAAGAAATTGTCGTGGAGGAATCTGTCCTCCATGATTCGGGCGAAGAAGCCACTCCCACCACTGAGCATCGCGAGTAGCTTTTATGGCAAAAAGGAGAGAAGCAGAAGGAGAGGAGCAACAAAAGGAGAATGGCAATTCCCGCATTCCAAACACTGATAAGAGTGTAATTCAGCAAATGAAACAAGTGAAGTTGAATAAATTATTAATATCACTTCTTTTGCTCTTGTTTTATGTTTTATGTTTGGGTTTGATTGTTTTGATTTTACTTTGTTTGTGTTTTTGTCCTTTGTGGAATTCTCGCCCGGGATCAAATGCAAATTTGTGTGTGTGTACGATGGATGTGCCCGAAAAAGTCATTTAATCCCTTATTATTATTATTATTATTATTATTTTACGAGAATGCACCCACCCCACCCCAATCCAACCCCCTCCTCTGTCACTGGCGATTCATGTTTGTTGCGCACTCTGTTGTACTCGGCTTGCACTTATCACTAAGGCTTTGTTGCCTCTTCTTGCGGAGACGAACGGCTTTTTTCACTCTTCCCAGAAAACTGTGGATATATAATATGCGCATAGGTGAAAATAAATAAGAAGGAGCGTCTTGTTTGAACACCCTGTTTTTTTGTGCACGACCCGATTGCTATATTCCGTGATATCGCAATGTGGATTTCAGCGAGCGCGGCTTTTTTGTTGTTTCTTCTGTTATCCCACCCATCCCCTGTTACTTTCCTCCACGAGGGGGGAGGAGGCCTGGCAGATGCGGGGGGACATAAATGAAGAATGCTGTTTTTTGCGTCCACAACAAGCACGCTTTTTCTTAGACTGATGTATGAATCCATTTGTGCACGAGCGTTGGGCGGATCTCATCTGAATTGGGAGCCGTTGAGGAGGGCGCATTGAACCAAATTTTGATCGCCCCTCGTTGTAGTCTTGTCTCTTGTGGGAAGAAATGACAAGGCCTCATCCAGACGCAAATTTTGTTCACGTTTTCTTCTTTTTTTTTTTTTCGTCTCTATTTTTTCATATGATTACATTTAATATTATATTCGGTAACGTATTTAGATGAATCGCGAGAAACACATGAAGCTCTGAACAGGGGAGGGGAGGGAGGAGAAATGTATATATAATTGTGAGTGCAGAAGGAGCAAGCGAGGAACGTTTCTTTTTGATGTTGTTGTTGTTTTTCTTTGCTTTGGGGGAGGGGACTCTTCCATATATCTGTTTTTGTTTGTTTGTTTGTTTTTCGGTCCCTGTTTGTGTTTGTGCGTGTGTGCTTTTGGTGCCTTTACGCCTCACGACACTCCGTTGACTCTTCTTTCACCCCCCCCCCCCCCCCAACTCTCTGTGTGCATGGTGTTGAGGGTCGAAGGCCTTTCCCCCATCCTGCTTCTTTCCGTGAGGTGGCGGTGGTAGGAAGGAGAAAGAACGAAGTAAAAAGGGGGAATTGATTGATAGAAAGAGAGGGAAACAAACGAATAGCAGTTGGTTGTGTGAGAGGGAAAAAAAGGGCGAAAAAAAGATGCGAACGGGACAACACAGTTTTGGTGGTAGTATTGTCTCCTCAGGGGCGGTCATTGCAGTGTCCGCCGCTCTTCACTTATTTGCAACGCGGACTCTTCCAGCCGCTGTGGCTTGCTACGCTCCCGCAATTTCATGGGGATTTACATGTCTGTGCTTGCGGAAGGGAATGAGCTACACTTACGTGCTGATTTTTACGTTACATTTCGTTCTTGCATCCATATGTTACTGGAAATTTGGCAGCTCAAATGCCATTTTAAATCGTAGCCTTCTTTATCCGTTGGCGGGATCAACGATGGCGTTGCTCTGTACCTCCCAGCTGCCTCGTGTACCGAATTCTGGCATGATTGGGGTGGCACTTCTTCAGGGATGGTCCACGCTTGGAGGGGTTCTGATGTTTCTGATATTCCCAGCAACTGTTCTTAGCAGCATTGAGCCGCAGGATTTGCGTGAAAGCCGTTTGACAAAATTTATGCATCAAACGGATGGAAAATATGTGGAGTCACTCACCGTCCCGTCAAAGCATGGCGTTAACTTGGACGTTTTATTGGTTAAGAGAGAAGAGGATGTAGATCGTTGGATAATTTACTTTGGCGGAAATGCAGAGATGATGGAAGACAGTGCGGGGGATATGTCCAGCCTCACGCAGATAGTTGTGGCAAACTGGGTTTTCTACAATCCTCGGGGGGTTGGGCGCAGCAGCGGATATGTAGCAGAGGTACGGGACCTTATTGACGACGCAGTCACTGTTGTCCAGCACATCTCTGCACGGTATTTGATTCCCCACAAGAAGCTTTTGCTTTGGGGACATAGCATTGGGGGAGGTATTGCGGCAGCCGTGGCGCGGCGTGAATGTATGGAGTGCCCTCTTGTCTTGGATCGAACCTTTTCACGTCTCTCCGATGCGGCCGTTAAGTTTTCACCCCTTTGCCCAGCTCTGACAAGGCTTTTGATTCGAAACACGATTGGGGATCTTGACGTGGTTGCGGATTTTAAGGCAGCAGCAAAGAACAAGAAGTTGGTGATTTATCATCGCATGGATGAAGTCATCGCGTACGACGTCGCCTCGTTGGGTCGCAAGGATGCTCTTAGTGAGATGCATGTGAATGAAAGTATGGTGGTGGAACTGCGTAGTACACGTGTGCAGTCGCCCCATAACAGCCTTCTTTCGGCGTTTGAGGAAAGGATGAAATTGTGTCGCTGCGTTAACGCGCTGTTTTCCTGAGGAGCATAACGAAATCTGCTTGCTTTTTCTTTTATATATATATATAGATATATTTATTTATTTATTTATTTATTTGTGGATCTTCCAGGGGTCTTCTTCTTGGTCCCAGCAGGTTTCATCATCCGTAGGAAACGAGAGGACCCATTGGGTGCGCCACCGATTATGTTTCCAGAAGAACAAACTGGGGCGACTGCTGTTCAGCTTTCATCTTGTTGTTGTTTTTATTTTTCTCCTGCCTCTACTTCTGCTCTCTTGAGAAACCCCTTTTATTCTTCTGCTTCTTCACACACACAAACACTTGTCTCTTCCTTGCTGCTTTGGCTGGTTGAAGCGCTTAAAAAAAAAAAACTTTTTTGGGGGGAAGGTAAACGACGGCATTTGCGCCTTGTCCAGTAGCTGTCTCTGTGGGTGAGTGCTGTTTAACCCCCAGCATCTTTAAGGCACCACACGTAATCGCAGAGAGGGACGAGGGATAGAAGGAAATGACGGTTGTGACTCAACAGCAGGAGTGTCCACGGCAGTCTGACGAGACGGCAAGTGGCGATAGCGTGGATGTGCGCAACGCCCAGCCAGACCTGGAGGGGGCATTTAAGGAGGTGGTGACGCGTTCTCTGGACGAGATTCTTCAGAAGCGGCCGAAGGACCCTATTCGGCTCCTTGCCGATCGTCTGCTGGAAAAGAGTGACAGCCACGAAGTTGAACAACACGAGTGCCTGGTGGGAAACGCCATCCGTTGCACACTGAAAAAGGCATGCACGCGAAAAAAGGGGGCTGATTTGTGTCAAGTCCCTGGTCTGCCGTTGCTGCAACTCACTGTGCCCACCGCATTCGAGCTTGATGCAGCGCTGCGACACCTTGAGACACTCACACCTTCCAACACGAAGGTTATCATATTTGTTGAGCCGCCCAACCCACCAACGGATCTTTTCTTTGTGAAGGGCGTGCCTTACTTTACGGATATCACGGAAAAACTTCTTCTTCAGCGCCGCCGTGGGGCAACAGATGACATATTGCTCGATGAAGGTGACGATGTGCGTGTGGGATCCTCTAAAAAAATGACATCTCTTCTTCAAAAGGCGCTTCTTTTGGACGTCAAGACCCTGCAGGAGGAGTTGGCCGATTTAGCCACTCCCCTCTCACGATTCTGCATCGTTCAGTTACCAGAGGTTCAGAGTAACTTTTTGGAGGTGTTTGATATTATTGATAAAGCCTTTGGCGTGCGGAAGCACTACTGGAACGTACGGACCACCGCTCCTGCAGAGGTTCCGTCTGCTCTTCTTGCGTCATTTAACCCAAGGATGTCCAACATGACCTTTTCGAGAATCATCGCGGCCATATTACCCTTATATGAACAACTGCAGCGCCGCAAGATTGC